GGCGTCAGGCCTATGTATGCTCACTCTCCGATAAGCCAAGTAACTCTGCGGGCATCGCAGAGGAGATTACTAGAGCGGGCCTATACCGAAGCCTGAATCGAAGGCCTCATGTCACAGGCAGCAAGCCCGAGAATTCGACTCCGAGTTCCTACGAGGCTTCCCAGATTAGAGAGCACGGGAAGGAGCCTCTGCACCCTCTCCGACACCGTCGCATAATGAAGGCCACTACCGCAGCCTGGCACCTGACGCAAGGAAGAACCCAGACCTTACACTGCAGCGTAAGGGCGCAAGGGCTGGGGAGTGCGAGGCCTCTGGGTGTGGAGGGTCTGGTCAGGGTTCCCCCCAGATGCGCGCACGCACATGAACTGTCTCTGCATCCCATGGAGCATGAAGGACTGCGCTTTGAAGGTGGTCCTAGATATGTCTCTACTGTAAGACAGCGGACCCTGAAGTCCTTTCCCCCTCAGGCCTCAAATTCTGAGCCCTAGACTTAGACCGCGACACGGCCCTCAGTGCCTCGGTGCAGGACCTGTTGGCAACGCTTCGCCGACGCATTGCGCAAGGACGGCATGGAAACGGGAAAAAGGCTTAGGGCTTGGTAGTCTAGGCTGCAGGGTCAGGGTTTAGGGTGTAGGGCTTGGGGCTTAGCGTTCAGGGCAGTGGGTGAAGATGGGCTTTCTGGCTTAGTCGGAAGTTGAGGCTCGGGAGGCTCAGTGGGGTCTCGAGGCGATGAGGGGTTGGGAAGGGCCCAGGCACAACTACAGCGCCCAGTCAGCCCAAAGCCAAAGCTGCGGCATACGAGTTTGATCTTCTGGTTGAAGATCTTGGGTATTTGTATGGCCCGAACTCTGCATCCAAATATTTCGGCCGTCAAGGGTGGGGCTTGAGCCTTCCGGGCGGTTTCATCTTTGGTCTGGACGCTTGCGAGGGGCGGCTCGAGATTTCGAGCTCTGGGGGCGAGGGCCTTGATGCCTCGAGGCAACCATGCAGCCCGACAATCGGATCAAAGAGGGGCCTTAGTAGTTAGAATAGGGTTTCGGGTATAGTANNGGAACCCCCAAAACCCTATTCTGATACATGACTAGCCTTATAGGCCTTGGGGTTGGAGCATAAGGCGCTGGCACAACATTCGGAAATGTCCAGATTGGATGCGGAGGGTCAAAGAAGGCGACAGGCGGGTTCCCTTCTGTTCTGAACCATCCGACCTCGGGAACCGCAAAGCCCTCCCGGCCCTTTTCCTAAAACTCGGAACCATAAAAGCCACTGACAACAAATCCTCTGAAAACATGACCGCTGCAACAAGCCCTCACAACGGAAGTCCTAAAACCCTTTCAAAGCACTGAGCCCGAAATCCAGACCTTGCCTCAATCTATACCTCAACATACCAACAAACTACCGTTAGGCATGGTCTTGATGTGAACCCTAGCAAAGAAGGATTCTCGTGGCTGGCAATATTGCTTAGAGCTCGGTCGAATCCTACCAACTTCGGTACTAGGACACCTAGGACACCTAGGTCAAGACTACCACCTGCTTGGTGCAAGTCTGTGCCTCGCGCTCCGAACTTCTGTGGCACGGAGCCCTGCACTTGGCTTCGGGCATGGGGTAAACAGAACCTGAAGTTTCCGAAGAGGTCCCCTACCCCAAACCACTTACAATCCCAAACCCTAAGGCCTCCAAGCCCTTCAAAATGAAACCCCCCCAAACAAAGCCGCACACCCTGAAAATGGAGAACAGGATGATGACAGTACCCTTATAGTACCCCTAAACGGACCCTATTATAGTCTATTTCCTGAATTAAGGAGTTTACCTTCATTCCTAATATTAAGACCCCTATGACCCTATGCAATGGAGAGCCCAGCTTACCAGCAGGCTCTGGAGCTCTTGACTTGGGTTTTGGCCCCATCGGCCCATCGGGTTTGGGGCGTGTAGGGGTTTATAGGGTTTATGAGGCTTACAGGGTTTATGGTGTTTTGGGTTTGGGGTTGGGGCTTTGGGAGTTTAGGAGCTTCGGCTTTGGGATCTGACCCTCTGAGCTGAAGGAGCAAACTCTCGGAGCTTCGGAGTTTTGGAGAGGCTTTACCCTGTTGAAGCCCTAAACCCCGAACCCTAAANNAAACCCCTAAACCTTAAACCCTAAGACCGTCTTGAAAGCCCAGGAGGCGAAGACCGCCTCCAAGACCCAAAGCACCGGTCCCCACGACCACGTGTAAAGCAAAGCTCTGAAGCACGCAAGACCATAAAACCTGGAGCCACCCTAAAGATTAGGGTTTAGGGTTCAGGGACCCTAAACCCTAAAGCCCCGAAATCCTTCAAACCCACCTCCGGTACCAAGGAGAGCCCAGCCGGGAAAGCCGGCTTGGAGCTGGCTCCAAAGTGGGCGGAGGGGGGGGGGGTGAGAAGTGGCCTGCAGACAGCTCTCTTAACTGTGTTCTAGAGGGCTTTAGGGTTCAGATCATTGGTGTATGGGTGTTGGGGCTCTAGTGTTGGAGGTGAAACCCTACAGCGCTAGCATCGAGACCCTTACAGCCGAAACCCAAAACCCGCCAACAACCCCGACACCCCGAGCCCCTAAACTCGAAATCTTGAGCCCTAAACCCCAAAAGCCTTGAAATTACACTCTCAACAAAACCGAATACAGCACCTTCCTCAAGGCTGGCCTCCCATTCCGGATGCTTCTGAAAGGCAGGGTAGCCTTCCTGCCAGACCCGACTTCGCTGAGACCGCCGGGGCGGCTGGCTTCTTAATCAGGTTCCTATCTAAAGCTGGTGGACTTGGATTCTGCGCTCTGCAGTTGCAGCTTTGGCGCGCTTGGGCTGTCCTCTGGCTTTTGATTGCCCTCTGAGAGCTACAAAATTTTCCAAAACCCTGCAAGCCGGGCTCCTGTGGTGGCCAATCCTCCATGCTGCATTGGCATGGGCCGATGCCTCGCATCAGGGTCATTGGCTTTTACGGGTTCAGCGGGGATCCGAAAGTCAAGGGTTTTAGGTTTTGGGCTTCAAAAGCCTCCTCCATACCATGATACAAGCGAAATCGCCTCAAATCCTGACAAATCCAACTCCAGACACTGCACCCTAAGGTCCAACCCCAAATCGCTGATTCGTACATAGTTGCAGCCATTGAACTGGGTAGCTTGCTGCTAGCAAGAGAGATGCGATAGAAATCAGACGAGCCTTCTCGGGCATTCTTCGGAGGAGGAAGCATCCCCAAAGCCCCAGAAACGGCGGCGGATGGGAAGCAAGGTCACAGACAAGGTCAGCACAACAAGCTCGACACGGCAATGAGAGTTGAAACAACACAGGTTTGCAGATTTGGGATGTGAGGATCCGTGCCCGTGCGAGTTGGCTGTTGCCTGCCTAGGACACAATCGGCTCGCAACACGGCTCCGAACAGATGCTGTCAAACGCCTTCATCATCCTCCTTTTTTTAATCGAGCGCGCCTCTACGAAGGCATGGAACGAATTCTGTAGACTTTTGCTACAGGTAACGTTGTAGGGAACATGCTCATTCAAAGACTTGGGACGATTCTGGCTGCGATAGCTGCAGCGACATGTGCGATGCAGAACCGTGGACAAACGTGCATTTAACCCTACTTACAACCCTATACTTATCAACCTCCGAGCAAACTCGCTAGGTCCTACACCATAGATAGAGGTAAGCGCCCAAACTCTCATCACAGAAGCCCCAGGCACCGAGCAGTCACGCGAACTACCTGAGAAAGTGAGACTTGGGAACCCAATACGCTCTAATTTGCTTTGGGATGCAGGCCAGGCAGTGGCGAGTACACTCACGAACCCTCTCGACTCTAGCTTGAATCAGCCATACAAAGACGGCCTCGGAGCGGATCGAAACCTCCTGCGACACCGGTGATAAGAAAACCAGGAAAACTAGTGGGTTTAGGGTTCAGGAGTCCAAAACAAGTGCCCCTGCACTCCTGAACAGTCGCGCAGCCTCACGGACCCAATACCGAGCCCCCAGCCATCTGCTCGAGCCGTTGCGGCGGTCCTGAAGCGCGGCAGCTTAGTTTGGATGTTAGGCCCCAGGCTTTCCGGGAGCAACCCTGAAGCCTCGCTCAAGGCTTCGGGTTTAGACTCTCATGACCACGGTTTAGATCGTATGTTTGAGCGAGCAGTTGCAGAGGGACGGAGACAAAAAACCAGCGTCTCTGAGCCACGAGAGAGAAAGCAACCCAGGTCCCAGAACTGTGGGCTGTGAAGGGCCTGGGCTGCCTGCAAATCCAACCGATTTCGATTGTCAAAAAACCGTGCAGCTCTCCATCCTCTACGCATGTAGAACACAACCGAAACATTCAAAAACCCCCCTGAAGCCATGTGATGTGGGGGCTTCCTCCGTCCAGGGCGCCAGCAGACCTGCCACTCCCGTAGCCGGGTTTTGGAGGGTTTTGGGGTGTTGGCCCTAAACCCTAAACCCTAAACCCTAATCATTAAACCCTAAACCCGAAACCCTAATCATTAAACCCCCAAACCCTAAACCCTCTATCAGGCACAGGGTTTTGGGGGCTTAGGTCATGGGATCTTTGCGGTTCCGGGAATACGGCGAATAGGGTGTCGGCTTGAGGTGCAGCGTTGAAGGATCACCGCGCGGGGCTTCAATATTTATAGGGTGTAGTAGGATGCTTCCGCATTGGATTTAGGCGCCAGGTTCCGCGAAGCTCAATCGCAGACGGATGCCTGCGATTGAAGCGTTGGGGTTCAGGGTTCAGGTGTCTTGGCTTGCAACTCACCACCACGATAAGTATTCGTTGCTTGGGGCGTGCCAAAGGTCAGGGCTTCTTGTTTAAGCTTCGAGGTTCTGCAGCTCACTTCAAGGTCTACCTTGAGGCGAGGTCTAGATGATCCTGGATTAGGCATTCTTTCCGGTACGGCGGTGCTTGGTGCATCCTCACCGCGATTGCCAAACCCGCAGGGCTTGAAATCTTGGGGTCTGGGTCTTAGCGCTGGAACTGTCTTTTGAATAATGCTTCGAAACCTGCACGGCGGTTCGGTCACATTCCACATGCGCGGGCCTTCCCACGAATTGTCGTGCAAACTTTGCACTTTGCTTATGTACTGAAGCAACTGCTGGTTCTCCTGAACAGCATTCAGGAGCTCGTGCTCCTCGGCAAGCTTGGCTTGAGCTTCGGCACGATGCCTTCGTGCACCTGCGATCTTCTTCGCTCTTTGTCGGCCAGCAGCATCCAGCCTCTTCCCAAACATCTGGTTCCCAGTCAAGCGCCCGAGCTCAGCATCAACTTGGGCCGCAGTCTCCGTCGTCAAACCTAACACCAGCTTTGCTTGTTCTGCCTTGCACAGCAGTCCAGCAGCCAAGAGGTGTTGCATTATCTGGTTGCAGGAGGTCAGACCACAAATCCAAAGCAAGTGTACAGACGCTCCCGGTCCCGCCTTTGCAAGCGTCGCATCTTTGCCTAAGCTTCGGGCCAGAAAATCGCGAAGGCACTCCAGGACCCGTGGATGCTTTTGCCCAATCCGCAGCTCCAGAGAAGCTCCTCCACTCGGCTGCTTGATGCAGCCCTCTGCATCAAAGAAGCCACTGAAGTACTCCCAGCTGCACGTACCAGCGACGGCCGAGTCGTACTCCTTCAGCGCACGCAGCTCGGCCTTGCAGTCTTTTCTGTCGGATTTCGCCTCAGGCCACTGGGCCGCCAACAACAGCTGCTTATGTTTGGTGATGCTGTGCCGGGCCAAGAGCTGAGCTGCATTTCGGGCAGATTGGCCACACGCCACCCACCGAAGAGCAGGTTTGCGCAGGCCCAGGCCGCTGCTGTGAAGCGTGATACTTCCCCCGAAAATCTCATGAAACAGCATCAGAATCTCGGTCTGGTCGAAGGACTGAGGCACCTGTAAAAAACAGCCCGACAAGTTTGACTTACATGAAACGCAGCCATCCCCATCGAAGAAGCCAGCCATAAAAGCCAGCACGGGCTCCGATGGCAGACGCCGCAAGTCCCTGCTCTCGGCTCGCAATGGCAGGCTGTAGGTTCGTCCATTCGCCGAAAAACATTTCAGAATAGGCCAAGGAGACTTGCCCAACTGTACACGAAGCTGCTTGTTCTTCCTCCGAACTTCTTCCAATGTATCGCAATCGCCTGCTGCTAAGCTGAAGCACTTCCCAGCTCGAGGCCCTGCTACCCCTGCCAGTGCCAGGCTCCTGCAGCCACTGGTCCAGACCACCAGCAGCAGCAGAAGGCCAGCGGCCCATGACACTTTCCTTCTCGCATGCGCTGCAAGTGGAAGCTCGCCCCAGCCTGGAGCTCCGCTTGGTCTCATCAAGGTTTGGGCTTTGGCTGGGAGCCAAAAAAATTGCCGAGACTTAATCCATGAGTCGATGCAGGCTCAACGGTCTATGCCCTGAAGCCAAAAGATGCAGGAGATGCACCTACGACGATTCTGGGATTTTTCTGGGGGTCTAGGCTCACAATGCGGGCAACGATGGGAGTCTCGGCTCTGACCTCGCTGCGGAGCCCTAAGGATGCCCTAAGGCTTGGATTGAAAACCCTAAACCCTGAGCCTTAGGCTGAGAGGTTTGGGGTTTGGGGGGCTGCGAAACTGCGAAAATATATTCGCCCCGAATGTTATAGTATATCAATCGTATAATTGCAGCATATTATAATTATTCGCATGTTATAGAACAGTATCAGTTTCTCTGAATGCCACATCTGTGGAGCCTATCCCGGTCAGAGCTTGAAAAGCCAAGCCATAGGTTCGAGGTTTCATTGTCTTGTGTTTCGGGTGGCTTACAGGTAAGGTTCAGACTTTAGGTCAGGCCAGGGCTTAGAGGCTTTGACGTCAGGTCGAGCTGAGGGCTAGACCTTTGCAGACCGAACCTTCCCGGTTAGGGGTTCAAAGACCCTGAATCCGCAAAACGAAACGTGCAAACATTAAACGCATCCTAAAACCAAGGACTCCTACACCCGCAAAGTCCGGCAAAGTCCTTCTCTAGAGTCCCAGTGGCAGTTTTCAACCGCCGCAGACCTGATCCCGACGCGAGCGAGCACCCTTTTCCGAAGGCTGTGCGGGTCAGTGGCAGCTTGTGTCAAGGCCGGTAGGTTCAGGCTTCAGGTGTTGCACTTATGGTAAATAGCCTCAACATGACTGATCCGAAAATCGAACCCTAATCTCGCTTAGAATCACAAGTCTATATGTACATGAGCTGCAGGGCCACCTGCTACCTCCGCCTTGACCTACGGCACCCTTGAAGGCGGCACGGGTGGCCGGCGCTACGCGGACCCAACTCAGCGTTTGCTTCCGTGGCAAACCTTGTTCAGATTCGTTTTCGCAGGCAGATGCTCGTTCGACACGTGTTTACAAGGGGTTCCTGGACCCCAATCGGCTCAGGATTTGAGGGGGCTCTCAAGGTTCAGAATGACGAGGTTCAGAGGAGAAGGCGAAGGATCTCCAGGCCTGTGAGCATAGTGTTAAGGACTGTTGTAGCCAAGTGGGAAGTTTGAGCTTTAGGTTTTGGAGCCTCCAGCTTGAAGCCTTTAAGGTTCTTGGAGATTCACACATGGTGGCGTGAGGGTTCAACCTTTGCGGGCTAGCCGTCGAAAAATGGGCGCTGCCAAAGAAGCCTCAGCAGCATGTTGACCTGTGTTCAATAGAGCACTGCGGTAATGGAAGCGCTGTGTAGTCTATGTCCAAAGGCCCAAATCCCGCAATCGAACCTTTAAACTGCCCAGCCGAAGGATCCTCTGCACATGACTTAAATGTGTATCTATAGATAGGACCTTTGTCAGAAGGGCCGCAAATTTAGAGGCAGGTTGTCTTGGTTGGCTTTCGGGCTGCACAGGCTTTTTGTCTTCAGAATGTAGCTATGATTCGCGGGTTGGCAGCTGCTCGCTCCGGTCTGACATGTTCACCCGAGCTCAAAGCCCTGAAACAGCCTCTCTCACGTGCGACCCTGGAACCTTCCACCGCAACTGAGACACAGTTCAGAATCGAAGGCCTCTGCGGCATACCCCCTGCCGCCCAGGAAAGAAACCGAAGCATGAAGCCCGGATACCGGCGCAAGGCCAAAGCAGTGCTGCCGGTGCGGAGCGAAGAACAAGCGACTGGATGCCTTCGGAAGGCCAGCAGGGTTTCAGGTCTCACAAACGGAGCGACAACCAGGAAACTAGTTTGTACTTTGTCGTTACATTGTGGCAAGGCAGAATGAACCTAATCATCTGACTGAATACCTATTTGTATCTACACAGATTTGATCTGTGCAGGTCTTGTACAAAAGTAGCAGACCTCCCCTCAAGAATGTGTTTTGAAAGTTCACTCTTTGGAGCTCAGGGCTGAGGTTTCGGGTCCAGGTCAGAGGCTCAGCGCGGGGCCGATGCCGTAACGGTGCCCTTAGAGTTGAAGGTGACCACGCGGCATGAGGGGGCACGAGGGAGAAAAGCAAGGGTCTACAGGTTCTGACCTCCGGACTCCCACTGAGGCGATGCATGTTCTTGCCGGGTGGCCCTTCTTGAAGACTGAACCTTTGGCCTCTACGCCGAGTATAGATTTAAAGCACCTTGCGACACGTTTCGTCTGACTGTGGTGCTGTCACTTCGGCTCACATGCCGTGGGCAATCGGGCCTTCCCACGAATTGGAGTGCAAACTCTGCACTTTGCGCATATATTCCACCAACTGCTGGTTTTCGCGGCAGGCTTTGAGCAGCTCGTGCTCCGCCTTGAGCACTTCAATCTCGTTCAGCTTGGCTGCAGCTTCTGCCAACCGCCCGAGCTTTCCAAAGCGAGCAGCCTGTGCTTGAGTCACACTGATCTTCCTGGCCCTCTCTTGCCCAACAGCGCCCAGCTTCTTCCCAAACATTTGGTTCCCAGTGAAGCGCCCCAGCTCAGCATCAACTTGGGCCGCAGTCTCCGGTGTCAAGCCCAAAACCAGCTTCGCTTGTTCTGCTTTGCGCAACAGTCCAGCAGCCAAGAGGTGCTGCAGTATCTGCTTGCAGGAGGTCAGACCGTAAACCCTAAGCACATGTGCAGGCCCTCCCACCTTTGCGAGTGCCGCATCTTTGCCTAAGCTTCCCGCCAAAAGCTCGCGAAGGCACTCCAGGACCCGTGGATGCTTTTGCGCAATCCGCAAGACCAGTGAGGCTGCTCCGAGCTGCTGCTGGATGCAGCCCTCTGCATCAAAGAAACCAGCACAATACTCCCAGCTACACGGACCAGCAACCGCCGAGTCGTACTCCTTCAGGGCACGCAGCTCGGCCTTGCACTCCTCTCTGCACGACTCTTCATCGGGCCACTCGACCGCCAGCAGGAGCTGCTTCCGTTTGGTGATGCTTCGTCGGGCCAAGAGCTGAGCAGCGTTTCGGGCAGACTGGCCACATGCCATCCAACGAAGAGTAGGTTTCTGCAGGCCCATGCCACCACGCTGCAGCGTGATGCTCCCCCCAAACGTCTCATAAAAGAGCATGAGGACTTCGGCCTGGTCGAAGGACTGCGCCACTGACAAATAGCACCCCGACAACCCTGTCGCACAAGAAACGCAGCCATCTCCATCAAAGAAGCCGGCCAAGTAGGCCAGCATGGGCTCAGATGGCAGATGAGGCAGGTCCCGGCTCGCGGCTCGCATTGGCAGGCTGTAGGTTTGCCCATTCGCCGAGAAGAAATTCAGAATAGGCCAAGAAGACTTGATAAGCTGTACACGAAGCTGCTTGTTTTTCATCTGCACTTCCTTCAAGGTATCACATGCTTCCGCGCAGAAACTGCAGCGCACGTCTTCGTTGAACCTTTCTGCGCCTACCAGGGTCTTGCTGCCTCTGACCCAGAAGGCCGGTGCCAGCAAGCTTGCCTGTTTGCCTTCTCACATGCAGTACCTTTAGCAGCACAACATGGCTGCGTAATGCGATCATTCCATCTGATTCGCGAGGAAAGCACGCACCGGCTAGACACGAGCCAAACCAAGGCTGTAGCAGACGGTCACTAAGTGCAAAGCTTTCAGGGTTTCTGCCTTTCGCTTTGGGCGCATGCAACTCTCCGGTGGTGTGTTTGTAATCCTGTTGCGACTGCGTGAACCTAGCCATTCCAATTTTCAAGCCTGCAACACCTACAGGAACCAGCAAGCTGTCCTGTTAGGCTCTTGACTCTTGAACAGAAAGCGGCTTTGTCAGGATTTTGCACCCACATTCCGGATGTAAAACTGAACGGTCCAATAGGACATGTCAGCTTCCAACTCAGGCTGAGGTCACAACAAAACAGCTGCTCCACAAGCCCTAACACCCAAACCTCAAACCTCCTTACATGGTGAAAGCCTCCCCCCAAATTTCCCCGATGCTCTAAGGCCCTCTCAAGATCGAAACCGCAGACCGAAGACCGAGACATCGAAATGCTACGCCCTGATTCTGCACCCCTGCCAGGCAGCCGGCCTCAGCTGCAGCTGCGAGCGAACATTTTGCACTCTGCTGCGCGAGCAAACCTCTGCGTGTAGAGTCTCGTTGATGGGGCGTTGAAGTCTTAGAGGTTCACAGGCCTGTAAGGATCGACGTCGTTAGGATTTGGATAGAATTGATACGAGAGCATACTAGGATTCGTGCACATGGGGGCGATTGGGGAAGCTACGCCTTCTTGATGGAAGGTTCTTCGCCCAAACAAGCCATTTTCGTTTGAGAAGACCCTTGACTTTGAAATAGAAGCTTCAGCCTGAAAGCAAGAAACCTCAGTCCCGAACCATAAACAGTTCAACCAAACCCCTGCAAGCTGAACCTTGGTGTCTTTGACGGCTATGCCCGCATTCTCTTGTTCTCTCCTCAATGGGAGGTGTCTCTGGAACGTAAGCCCTCAAAGTGCTGGAACCCAAGACAGAGCGGCAGGTAGCAATGCTCGCGGAGAGGCATTCCGGAGCTTCCCACAAAGACGGACGAACTCAAACTCCCAAATTCGATCACGAGCCCGATGAGTTGTTAGTTCACTCCGCGCAAGGAATCACACCCCAAGCCTGAAACTCAGCACCAACGCTCCTCTACCCTGAACCCTGCAACTCCGAGTCTCGTAGAGCTCCCAGATCGTCTTGCCCGGACTTGCCCCGGTTCCACTCCGGCGAGCTGCACTTCCTCTCCGGCTCCCGGCCGCACTTTCGGCAGCCGTCAGATCGTCGGGAGAGAAGCATGGAGAGAAAGCGGCCAGTCCTTGGGTGGAGCTTTAATTTGGGTTGGGGGTTGTGAGCTGGTGTAACACTCTTTGGGTTGTTCAGAAATACGATGGCTCCGTCGCACCTTTGCTTGCGCAGACTCCTCTTCGGCTGCATGTTTCCTCTGTTCATAACCGTTCAACATTCTAGCTCTTAGGCGGTGGCAAGTGCGTTCTGGTCCAGGCTGCAGCGCTGGAGCTGCACGGCCCTACGTTTCGCGTGGGGTATCGGACTCGGCCGCGTCGCAGCAGTTCGACTTTGGTGGCCCCCTGGAGTTTGAAGTTTCAGGACTAAGCCGACCCAGGGCCTGTCGCCTCCCGTGCAGATGACCAAAAAAACGCCGACGGGCTCGGACTGCAGCTGATCCTGGGCTGGGCCTTGTCCAGACCGCTAAACTCTTGAACAGCTCACGCTCCGATCATGCAGACGATGACTGGCGGAGGTTGGGGATGCTACCTCTAAACGTAAGCTGACGGGATTTATAACAGAACACCTCAGTAGAAGTCAATGCACACCCCCCATGCAGGCCCCTAAACCATGTCAATTTGTGGCAGGGTCCTTCGCGAGATGAGCAGGATCACAGCACGATCATGCGCATCTTCATCAGCATTTTCGGGATCTGCTCCCACATGATGCTCAAAGGCAAGGAGGAAGGCCGGGACAAACTCACAAGGGCTTTGAGCAAAGCAGCTGCGAGAAGAAGCTGTGCCAGCTTGCGATGGGCCTGTTTTGGGCAGAACCTCCGTACTACCTCATCCGACGGGCGGCGGCTAGTGCTATGGAATGCAGAGCACCTTCTCAAAACCAGGCTAAAGCAGAAGGTTAGCACCTCGCTATGCTGCATGAACCGTTCTTGCTTTTGAAAGGTCGACCCAAAGCTCAAAGAGCCTTAGCTCAAGCGCCCTCATGTCTTCGATAATCTGTGGCCATGAACCTTTCGACCCAACGATCGCCATGCTTTTCGATGGAATCTTCCTCTAAGCTTTGAAGCCTAAAGCAATCTAAGCCCCTCTTGAGCCCAATAGGCCCTGACGTTCTTTGATGTTCTTTGAACCATAGCTTCGAAAAAGCTCCCGCCTGCTGCTCTTCCGTCAGCTCCCCTGGAAGCGCGTCCCCAAAACCAGAAACGGCAGCGGTCACAGGCACCGTCCAAGGCAACACGGAATTATGCGGTCTGAAGGTTATGTTGAAGAGTGTGCAGGCGAAAAGATCTTGAAAGCTTGCCGTATCGGGACGACAATGCGAGAAGTTTGACATGGCAATGACGATTGAACGGCCCTGCACACGCAGATTGCAGGATGCTGTGGATGGGCCTGATGGCCAAAGCAAAAAGGCCGCACGGGTGATGGTCTAGTGCCGAAAACAGAAGAAAGGCCATAGCCGCGAGACTTCTTTCTCTCCGTCAAGCGCGCCTCTACGAAGGCATAGAACGACCCCTGTAGGCCCTTGCTACGGGGAACATCGCAGGGAACATGCTTATTCAAAGACTTGGGACGATTCTGGTGGCTGCGACAGCTGCAGCGAAATGTGCGATGCGGCACCGTGGACAGATACGCATTCGCAACAAAAAGTTGGCGTGGCAACTTCAAGCTTCCGCACATCGCAGAAGGAGCTCTTGCATCAGTCCCGATCACCTCAAACACACCTCATCCCCGTAGACGCGTCTGAAGTCTCTGCACGGCCTGCATCCAAGCTGTAATTGCAGGATCAGGGGATAGCCAAACAAGGTCATAAGTAAGCCAACTATGACTAACTATCATTGCCACGACTTGCCACCCCAATGAAGCCTACTTATCAACCTCCAGGTAAGCTCCCCAGGCCTAGGCTTAGTAGGCCTAAGCCGAAAGCCTAATCGCGGATGGTCCGGTCACAGAGTCGTCACGCAAACCACCTCGGAAATTGACTGTGGAGCGTCTGGGTTGTAGTTCTGGGCCCACAAAGGTATTTATGAAGACGCTTCTGAAGAGGTAGGTACCTCTGTAGGGCCATAAGCGAAACTTTACAGTTGCCCAAAGTGCCACCTGGCTTCTTGTCAAATTTATATTGGGCTTTCTGGGAAGCAAGGCACTCCGGGCGTCCTACGGCTGTGTCTCTTGGGGCTTCGGGTTCGGGCTTGAAGTTGTCCGCGGAATCTACGTTCAGGATCATTAACTCCTGAGGGGTTTGGGTTTAGGAACATGTTCAAGAAGACACATGACAAAACCTAGACCTTAACTAGAGTACAGGCCGCAGGATACGTGCCACAAAGCCGAGGGTACACCCTTGCATAAGCTGTGCAAAGACTGCCTCCAATCTGATCGATACCGCTAATACCCAAGCCGAGCTTGAGAAACCCATCGACATGAGGTAACAATGGGTGGATTTGTGCGAAGCACAGGAGTAAATTCCTAGCGATTTTTGATTCCTCAAAATGCGGGAGTCCGCGGCCCCACCACCTGTCGCACCCACATACCGAGCCCCCTGCCAGGGGCTCGAGCCGTCACGGAAGTCCTAAAGAGGACCGCGTGGTTGGGATGTGGGGACCCCAGGATCACCGATTCCTGTACCCAACCCTCAATCCTACAGCTCGATGCTGAGAGTTTGGATTCTGAGTTTATATTGTAGGGCTTCGGCTCTGCATCGGGGCTGAGAGAGCTTGTGCGTGAAGGGCACAGAAGTTACACAGACTGAAACAAGACTAGCGTCCTTGGACCAAGAGCGCAAGCAACCCGGAAACCGAAAACCCTTCAACACTAAGCTTATAAATCCTTGATTCTCTGAGCCTTGAACGCTTCAGGTGCAGAAAAGCCGAGAGCCCAAGGGTGTTTTCCATCCCTGAACCCCAAGCTCAAGAGCCCTAAATCCAAAATCCGAAGTCCGAAACGCCCTTCATGACCCACGAGCGCGGTGATGTTGGGCTTCGGGTGGCAACCCTCGGGCACAGCTCCTCCTCCGTCCAGGGTGCAAGTCGGACCTGGCACGGTCTGAGGTTCAGGATCCAGAGCTTTCAGGATGGACTTTCTGGGGCTTTGCGGGGGATCAGAGAGTTTAGGGTGTCCGCGCTTGATGGGGTGCTAGTAAGGGGCATGGGGTTCAACGATCTAGGACTTGGGCTGCGGCATTTAATTGGTTTTGGACTGCTAAAGTTCAGCTCCGACTCCTGCCGCGACTCCTGCCACGTTTTCAACAAGTTCTGCCTGCGTCGCTTTGCGGCTTGCACTTGGACACGCCGCTACACCGAAGTTTCTGGGCATCTTGCTTCGGATGCAAGATGCCATGAATCCAATCCCAACGGTTACCCTACAACTTCCCGGCTCTAAATCACGCATCGAAGACGAGATCCTCGAACCCCGACTGCTCGCTGCGGTTTCGTCACATACCGCGGGCAAGCGGCCCTTCCCACGAAATCTCGCGCAAGTTCTGCAACTTGGACATGTACTCGAGCAACTGCTGATTATCGTGGCAAGCTTTGTATAGCTCGTGCTCCTGCCTGAGCACCTCAACCTCTGCAAGCTTGGCTTCAGCCTGTGCAAGCTGCCCTTGCCTCTTCAACCTGGCCGCTCGGGTACGTCCCCGTTGGATCTTCCTCGCCCTTTCTCGGCCCGCAGCATCCAGCCTTTTCCCAAACATTTGGTTCCCAGTCAAGCGCCCGAGCTCAGCATCAACTTGGGCCGCAGTCTCTGGTGTCAAGCCTAGCGCCAGCTTTGCTTGTTCTGCTTTGCACAGCAGTCCAGCAGCCAAGAGGTGTTGCAGTATCTGCTTGCAGGAGGTCAGACCCCAAACCGAAAGCACGTGTGCAGACCCTCCTGACTTCGCGAGTGTGGAATCTTTGCCCAGGCTTCGGGCCAAAAACTCGCGAAGGCACTCCAGGACCCGTGGATGCTTTTGCGCAATCCGCAAGACCAGTGAGGCTGCTCCGAGCTGTTGCGTGATGCTGCCCTCCGCATCGAAAAAGCCAGCACAGTACTCCCAGCTGCACGGACCAGGGACGGCAGAATCGTAATTCTTCAGGGCACGCAGCTCGGCCTTGCACTCCTCTCTGTGCGACTCTTCTTCGGGCCACTCGGCCGCCAGCAGGAGCTGCTTCTGCTTGGTGATGCTGCATGGCGCCAACAGCTCAGCTGCGTTTCGGGCTGACTGGCCATATGCCCTCCACAGAAGACAAGGTTTCTGCAGGCCCATGCCACTCCCCCTGCGCGTGATGCTCCCCCCAAACGTTTCATAAAAGAGCATGAGGACTTCGGCCTGGTCGAAGGACTGCCCTATTGCCAAGAAGCACCCCGACGAGTTCGGCTGACAAGCCACGCAGCCATCCCCATCGAAGAATCCGGCCAAGTACGCCAGCCTAGCCCTCGAGGACAAATGAGGGAAGTCCCTGCTCTCGGCTCGCAGCGGCAGGCTGCAGGTTTGCCCATTTGACGAGAAGCACTTCAGAATGGGCCAAGGAGACTTGCTCAGCGCAGCTCGAAGACGATGGTTCTTCATCTGTACTTCCTTCAACGTGTCGAAATCGCTTGCTGCTAACCTGAAGCACGTCTTGGCTCTAGGTCCTGCTACCCCTGCCAGGCTCCAGCAGCCACTGGCCCAGACCGCCAGCAGCAGCAGAAGGCCACTCCACCGGGCGAGCCATGGCACTTTCCTTCTCGCACGCACTGCAAGGGGAAGCTCGGCCCAGCGGCCCGGAGCTCCCATTGGATTTTGGGGAAAAGCCCGGAGCCAGCCCAGGGAGCCAAAGCAGCTGAAGAAAATGAGCTCGCGGCGAGGCTTTGAACCTGATAGCCAGGGTTTTCGGGTTTGGGCTAAGCTTAAACTTTGTACATTTGGGGCTTTGAATTTGGAGTCTGTACGGTTCAATAATTATTCTTTGGGGTTTGCGGCAGGCTTTGTGATTTAGAGCGAGGTGACGGCGTCTGCCCGGCAAGTTTCCATCTCTGAAGCTGGACTCTCTCAGATCTGCGGCCTAGGCCCAACTCCCGAATTGGAAACTGCCTTGCTGAGGAGCTGATGCCTTAAAGCCAAACCTTTCGAGAGCTGCAAGTTTACAAGATATGATCGGGCATGTCGGGCATCCAGTCTCTTAGTCAAGGCAACGATGAAGGGCTGTCAGCTCTGACCTCGCGGTAACGGATTTCATCGTCTAGCTGCCTAGCTTGGGGCGTAGCTCGGAACCTCGGATTGAAAGCCCTTCCTCCTGCACGTTGAACATCACTCCGAAGCGCAGTCTGAATGCTCGAGAGACCGAGATCTACTCCGACCTTCCCTGCGCCCTTTCATGCTTCAGGGAGTTTGCTAGCCTGCACTGCTCAGAGGGTTGAGGGTGTCGGCTTTAGGGTTTGAGGCTTTCCTAAGCCTTGACCCTCCAAAGCTCGGAGCGCCAACGGTAACCTTGAAGGCTCAGTGCTTGAGGCGTTACAAATACAATGCTTGGTGCAGGGCTGAGAACTCAAGCGTGAGGGTTGGGGTCCTCCGGGCTTAGCGCCTCCAGCTCCCGAAAGATACACCCTTGGAAAGAGAAATTGCTCTGGTGGAAACATCTGCAGCCTAGAGAGGCCTGAAAACCGTTTTAGATTCTCGCTCTCGGTCTTTGGGTTTAGGGTTTTAGGAGGTAGGCTTCAGACTTTGGGGTCTTGGGTCAAGGCTTTCACAGGTTTGACTTCAGCGGCCGGCTGAGCTGTTTGTGTTTACATGTTGAGGCTCGTTACGTAAGGCTCTGGGGGTTGAGATCGGCTCCGGTTCAACTGTTGGGACGGCGCTTCAGCCCAAACCCTGAATCTTAAAAACTAAACGAAACGCCGATCCCGGAAAGCCCTCCAAACCCTGAACCCCAAGACTCCCAGTCCAAAACCCTCAACCTTTAATGGGCAGTCTTGTTTGCAAGCCTCTGACCTGACCCCGACATGCGCGAACACCTTTTTGCGAAAGCAGCGCGGGTCAGGGGCTGCTTTTGCCGAACAGAGAGTTCAAGATGAATGTAAACGGAAACCCTGCAGTCAGAAACTCGGAGCTCGCATATAAACTCCCAAGTCTCGGCTGCAGAGTTCCCGGGCCGTCGCTAGGAGGACCCAATTCAGCATTGCATTACCGTCTGTGGCGAACCTTGCTCAGCCAGGTGCTCGTTTGACTGTGAAGGGCTTAGCTTCGAGTCTCGTAGACAAACGACTTCCTGATTCAAAAATATACAGGGTTCTGAGCATCGGGCTTTTCGAGTTGCTACGGTGGGTGCGTGAGTCGATGTATGTTGCATGACTTTTAGGTGATGCAAGTGTTTGCAGCAAATGCTGCTTGGCATTTAAAGCTTCCGCGCATCAGGGCTCGCAGGTTCTGGAATTTTGGAGTTTAGGGAGCTGTGGCCTAGGGATTTCAAGGTTTGGGGCGAAAGGTGGATGTTGTCAACGAAGCATCACAAAGCCGCAGCACAACCTAAAAAAATCGATCTTAGGACCATGTCGCCCTAGAGAGAGGCTGCGGAACCGGAGTCCTGTGTTATCCAGAAGCGACCCTCGGAGCATCGAAGTGGCCCTTAAGGTGCAAAGAGCCCGAAGGATCCCCCCAACGTGGCTGCTGCTCTGATGGGTGCAGGGTGAAAACTCCAGTATGCCCGGATCATCTAGGATCCTTAAACCATGGGCACCCTAGCAAGGTATCAGTGGTTTACACATGCTTTTCTTGAGCACCGCGAGCCGGGAGCCTCCAGCGAACTCGGTTGGCTTTCTGGGTTTGTAGGCTGTTTTGTGTCCCAGGCTCCAGGGTTCACGCTATGGCGTTTGTGGGTCAGGGTTTCCTCTGCGTCACTTCGGCATGTTCAACATCTCACGCCCTGAAGCATCCTTATAGTGATTAGAGCCCAAAACCCCTCTCCCGTCTGCACACCTTCATACCCCTTCAGACCAAGTTCAGAATCGAAGGTATCGGAAAAACATACTCTATATATATATATATATAGATACAGTGCCTGTACAATCCAAGCTAGCTTTCATATGCACCTGGCAGGAACTGAACCCAGTAAAAGCCAGGACACCAGCGCAAGGCCAAAGCAGTGCTGCCGGTGAGAAGCGAAGAACGAGTGGCTGGATGCCTTCGGAGTTAACGGTGGCTTGAAACGGAGCCTTTTTCGATGAGTTGCGCAATATTGAACTTACAAGAATGAAAATTGTCTAGCTTCGAGGACGTGTGGACGACAGCACTCACACCGGAGCTATCTGTAAACACACAGCAAGATCTGTGCAAGCTCAGTCTCCACGGTTCAAGGTTGGAAACTCAGGTCTGAGGGTTTCGGGTTCAGGTCAGAGAAAGGCTCCGAGAATAACCAAGACCTTTGGAGGATTACAAGGGAAAGAAGCGCAAGAACACGGGCCTGCGGCTCTGACCTCCTGATTCCGCTGTGGCGGAGCATCTTCTTACCTAGTGGCCTACTGGCCTCTACGCCTCACACTCACATCTTAGCTACTCCAAACCTCTGCACGGCACTTCCTCTGACTGCGGGTTTTCCCAAATCCGTTCACATGCCATGGGCAAATGGCCCGTCCCACGAATCATCGTGCAAGCTCCGCAGTTTGCTCATGTACTGAAGCAGCTGCTGCTTCTCATGAACAGCTTTGAGGAGCTCGTGCTCTTGCTTGTGCACCTCAACCTCGCGAAGCTTGGCTCTTGCTTCTGCAAGCTGCCCGCCCTTTCTTAAGCGAGCAGCCTGTGCTTGAGTTGCACTGATCTTCTTTGCCCTTCCTTGGCCAGCAGCATCCAGCCTCTTCCCAAACATCTGGTTCCCAGTCAAGCGCCCGAGCTCAGCATCAACTTGGGCCGCAGTCTCCGGTGTCAAGCCTAACACCAGCTTTGTTTGTTGTGCTTTGCACAGCAGTCCAGCAGCCAAGAGGTGTTGCAGTATCTGCTTGCAGGAGGTCAGACCGCAAACCCAAAGCACGTGGGCAGAGCCTCCCGACTTCGCAAGTGTGGCATCTTTGCCTAAGCTTCGGCCTAGGAAATCGCGAAGGCACTCCAGGACTCGTGGATGCTTTTGCGCAATCTGCAAGACCAGTGAGGCTGTTCCGCGCTGTTGCTTGATGTGGCCCTCTGCATCGAAAAAGCCAGCACAGTACTCCCAGCTGCACGGACCAGGGACTGCAGAATCGTAATGCTTCAGCGCACGCAGCTGGGCTTTACGCTCCTCTTGGCAGGACTTTGCCTCAGGGCACTGGACCGCCAACAAAAGCTGTTCCCGCTTGGTGATGCTGTGCGGCGCCAGCAGCTGAGCTGCGTTTCGGGCGGACAGGCCACATGCGTACCACAGAAGAGTAGGTTTGCGCAGCCCCCACCCACGGTCTTTTAGCGTGATGCTTCCCCCAAACGTTTCACGAAACAGCATCAGGATCTCGGCCTTGTCGAAGGACTGCCCCACCTGCAATAAGCATCCAGAAAACCTTGCTCCACAAGTAACGCAGCCATCCCCATCGAAGAAGCCGGCCAAGTAGGCCAGCACGGGCTCCGGTGGCAGATGATCCACGTCACTGCTCTCGGCTCGCAGTGGCAGGCTGTGGGTTTGCCCATTCGCCGAGAAGCTTTTCAGAATAGGCCAAGGAGACTTGCTCAGCTGTACACGAAGCTGCTTGTTCTTCCCCTGCACTTCCTTTAGCATATCAGATGCTTCCGTGTGTAACATGGAGCACACGCTGGCGTTGAATCTAGCCTGGCCTAGTAGGCTCTTGCTGCCATTGACCCGGAATTGCAGTGTCAGGAAGCCTCCCTTCCACCAGACGGCCAACCCTGGGTGCCTTGTCGCACGCACAGCCTGTGGCAACAGAACCTGGATGCCGAAAGCTATCATTCCGTCCCGTTCACGAGGAAGGTGTTGGGCAGTGGACGAAGACCGGTTGACCACGAGCCGAAGAAGCTGCGGCGCTAAGCTCATAGCTTGGAGATTTTGGGCCTTTGGCTTCGAGGTGGCTACAATTTGGCGGAAATTGTGTGCAGGCCGGCTGTGTTTGCCCAGAACTCTCGATCTCTGACTTTCGAAGCCCGAAACCCCTTGACGCCAAACATGAACCTGCGAGTTCAGCCTCTGTAGCCCCGCGACTTTGGCGGAGTGCTGTTCTGATGTGGCATCTCGGTTTCGAATTCAGGCTGAGGCAAAGAACCTACATGGCCCACAAGCCCTAATGCCCAAACCCCACTTCTCCCCATACAGGGATTGTAAGGGACCTCTGGAGCTCGACACCGCTCACCGCAAGACCCAGACGGCCCCAAGCACCATGCCCTGATTCTCAAGCTCTCCCGGCAAAAGCCGGCCTCAGCGGCGAGCGAGTTTTTGCACTTTGCTGCGCGAGCGAACCTCGGAGATTCCAGTCTGCGGGGATGGCTGTCTCAGGTCTTTCAGATTCCATCGAGCCCCGTTTCGGCAGGGGCGACGTAGGCATTGCTTGTGGAGAAGGGTTTTGAAGCTTCTCCGGCTGCTTTGGAGGAATTCGGGTGCACTCCGACGTTCCCACTCCCAACCCCAATCCCAAATCTTACAATCCGTACAAGAAATCATACTGGAGCCTCAAACCCATAACCAACATCCCATTGCAACTCCGAAGCCCTTATGACTCCGAAATCTATCTACCACAAACTCCCAGCAGACTTCTCCCAGCCCCATTCCGGCGGCGGGCTGCACTTCCACTCCAGCTCCCACGCCGCACTTTCGACGGCACACAGATCGCCGGGCAGGAAGCATAGAGGAAAGTGGCCACAAATCCTTTTGCCCTCCAGCTGAGCTTCATTGCTGCGGGTCGGGGGTTTCTCTCTTCTTGGGCATGGGCATGCGCGGTTGAGCTTCATATTTGGGGTGATGTGGGCCACTCACAGCCCGTTTGGGCTGTTCGGAAACAAGAGCTCCTTCGGCAACTCCTCGCCGTTTGCACCTCGCTTGCTTTAACTATCGCTTCTGTTCTTCATACTGGCTTCAGCTGTAACTAGTCATCGGAACTCCGCAAACCATGTCGGGCTGAAGCTGTGAGGCTGGCTTTCGTTCTGAAGACAACTGCAGGTTGCCGACGGGCTTTGGCCGGGATGGCATACTGGGTTGGGCCTTGCTCTTAAACTGAACTCTTGAACCTCTCAAGCTGTAATTCAAGGCGATGACTGGCAGGCTGATTCAAAGCGCAAGAACCGCAAGAATATCTGACATACGTTCACATGATTTGGGCCCGAGAACAAGTGAACAGCCCTGCCAATGCTGCAGCACGGTCCTTCGCAAGATAATGCAAGATCACAGCACGATCATGCGCATCTTGATCAACATCCGCGGTATCTGCTCCCACATGACGCTCAAAGACAGCGAGGAATGGCAGGACAAACTCACGAAGGCTTTGAGCAAGGCAGCTGCAAGTACAACGTGCGTTCGTACCAGGTACCACACCTTTAATATGACCAGGAAATCCCAGCCATACAAACCGGGGGAGCACCTCCCCGAAACCCTCAGGCCTGTTTGCTGTTGACAAGTCGACTCTGAGGATCCAAGCTCTCCAAGCCAAGAAAAAGAAACATCTCGGTAAGCCGCATATCGAGCCCACCCCCCCCCACCTGCTGTGTTTCCGTCAGCTCCACGTGCGCCAAGGCCAAGCTGTTGGGAGCGGGCCTTTGCAGCTGAGGAGCATTCGGCTTTCGAATGTGCGAGGCTTAGGGTGTGAGGGCTTGGCAGTTTCGCCCGAAGCCCCTGGCGTCACACTCCGTCGTGAGGTGCAGGCCCTTTCAGCACGGAGCCATTCTCATCGTACTGGGAACCATGGCAGGGGCACCTGTCGCAGTCAAGAAACGGGGCCGAGCTATCCCCAAAAGAGCTTCCCGTAAGTTGGATACAAGGCCCTACGCAATAGGGGAAACATATTCCTAATTGGCTTCGGGCCTCATATTCCCCCCGGTTTTGGCTGAAGCCCCCTTCTCCCAAACAGAGTCGAAAGCCTCACAGGCTGGGTCTGAGGATCCAGGGTTTAGCGTCGAGGGATTAAGGTTCCGAGGTGGGGCCTGAAATGTCGGGGTCCGAGTCAAGGGTGTAGGGTTTAGAATTTAGAGTTTAGGGTTTAGGGTTTAGGGTTTAAGGTTTAGGGGGTTCCTGTAAGACGGAAACCTTGACATACCCTGCAGCATAAGCAGCCACAGGCACACGAACTTGTTGCCGACTCTGTTCCAACTGGCCAGACAGCCCAGATGTGTGCACCTGGGCATTCGAAGCACTCGAACCCTCTGCTTCGGAACCTACAGCAAGGAGCGGTGCGACTGTGATGAGGATGGTGGTGATGCTGACCAAGTGCAGCGTGATTATGATCGTGCTCGACATGTTTGATCACATGACATGTTTACCCTCATCCTTTGCATCTTCATCGTCGTCCTCGCCATCGTACTGTTTATGCAGTGAGCGATGTATTACTTTGGTTTGGGCATCCAGCGATGTGAGAGCTTGGATAGGAGTCACGGTGCACTGTGTAGTACGGGCGAAGGAGTTGATCCACGATTGGGATTGGGTGGACCCTCACTGCAAATTCTGCAAGCGCGCCAACCTCAAAGAAACCAGGGGGAGCCTCTGCTGGATCTGGATTCGCATTTCATACAACACGTAATTCGGAGGCAGTCTGCCCGCGATATGCAACCACGCTGCTCTGCTTTCAACGCGAAGTTCCGGATGGCGCCCCCATCCTGGCAACTTCTGGGGTGCTGCCGGACGTCTACCACAGGATGCTATGGCACCTTCTTCCGGATCCACTGACTTGAGGGTCCGGATTGGCCAGGATCTGTGTGTGGCTGATGCAACACATCTTGCACACTAAGTACTTACCCACGCTACCTTTGCCGACCAGCCCAATCCTAGTATCCGCAACAACGCTCCTAAAGCCTACAGCGAAGAAGCAGAAAAGCGGAGATCTCGACCAAGTAATGCCAGTACAGCAACTGATTCCTACAAGATTCCCCACACCGGGCCTTCCCGGGGAGGAGGAAGTAGGCTTCGCCTCCATGTCGGCTCCGCGAGCTTTGTGGTTGCGGAGTTTGACCGGGGTTTTGGGATCTTCAAGTTTTCGGGATGCACGGCCATGTAAGGCTACTGGACTACAGTGTATTGGACTGCAGCTCGGTTTTTCGCGAGAATCGGCATACAAGGCAACTCTAGAAGCCTCTGCTGAAGCAAGATCAGACACCAAAAAGATATCGACCTAGATCTACAGTTTACATACTCAGACGACTGGAACGCCCCCGACTCAAGGCCTCCCAAACAAAAACGACCTAAACTTCAACCCCAATAATGATGCGACCTGGCATATTGCGCCAAAGCTATAAGTGAGTAGCTAAGGACTTTTAAACAGAAGCTAAGGGAATGCCATTACCACAAGCAAGGATATTCCGAAGCCTACACTGCAAACCCCAAACCCCATTCTAGCCCGAGCCCTGATGCGCGAGCCCTAACAGTCAGAACAAGGCATTACGAGGGGTGCCTATACTAAACCCTTAATCACTATAATATAATGCCTAGTATAGCAAACCCTTACAGAAAGCCTTTATAGAAGTTTGAAACGGACCCTTAAAGCTTAAATTGTCTAGGCATTTATGTTAAAGACACTGAACCCTGAAGCCTAAACCCTAAACCCCAACCCTAAGCCCTAAACCCTAAACCCTAGACCCTAGGAGAGCCTCTAAGGCCGAGGACCAAATCCGGCTGGCCCTTGGCGGACTTCACCCAGCTCGCCACCTCGAGGAGAGGGGTCGTTTAGGCTTTAGCAGCTTAGGGTTTTAGGGTTTCGGAGTTTAGGGTTCGGAAGTTTTGGGTTTAGAAGCTTAGGGTTCGGAAGAGTTGGGTTAAGAAGTTTAGGGTTCAAAAGGTTTGGGTTTGGAAGTTTGAGGGTTTGGCTTTAGGTGGGTTTAGGGCTTTAGGATTTAAGGTTCCATACGGGCGTGTATAGGGGTTCCTTGAAGGATTCTCGAAGGGTTCTAGAAGAGTTCTATACGGGTTGTGCTGTAGGGCTTAGTATTTGAGAGTTTGAGCTTCTGCATTTGGTTGCTTCCAGGGCATTGCGCTGAGCACTTTTCTGCTTGCCTGAGGGTTCGGAGGATTTGTTCATGGTTTCGAGCTTCATGAATGTGTGGCTGTGAAAAGTACTTGCTACGACAAACCCGGCTAACTGAGCTCCGAACGTCCACCTGCTGCCAGTTCTTGTCCTGGGCCTCGGGCTTGAAGGTTAGCAATTAACACTGTCGTCGACTATGTACTTGGGCTGTTAACCTAACCTGCGTTGCAAACCTTTTAGAGCGCCATGTCTCCACAAAGCACAACCCCGTACCTTGGACCAGCACTGGCACCCCAAAGCCATCGATCTGAAACCGTAGGCCGTAAACACCTAGCCAACACTTCTCTCTCTCTCTCTCTATCTCTTTCTCTCTCCTCGGTTCTTGTTGAAGAACCTCATTTCATATAAGGTTATTGCAACTTAGGCGAAGATCCTTAACCGTAAACCCTGAACCCTATAGTACCCCTTATACTATGACAGTAACCCTCAACCCAGTCTCTCCGACGGCCCCGCTCTCGATCCGAACCCCAGACTCGCAAGTACCTCAAGGGCCCGAGCGATGACGGGCTTCGGGGGCTTGTTCATGATCAGCGCCCCTGGGTTTGCGGGTTTTGAGGTTCAGGGCCTGTTTAGGGTTTACGGGTTTAGGGCCTGTTCTAGGGTTGAGGAGATTAAGGGGGATAGGGTTTAGGGCTCTACAGGTCCTATGTAGTTGGGGGGCTCAGGACACATCGCATCGGCTTGTCGGTTTTGTCTGGTGGGATAATGATCTTTCCTGTCAAGGTGCCCTGCTACACATGATTGGGGGATTGGTGGTGGACGGAGGTGCCCCTTCGTACAAGCTTGCCTGGACAAGTCTCCCGGGATGTGTCTAGAGTAGCATGTTGCACAGCGGGCCTGTAAGATGTACTTCCAAGCACCCAGCACAAAGAGCCCGGCCATACTCTCAAACGAAGGTACCTGCTAGTGGTGTGGGTGCGACCCCCGGGGAAGGTGACCTGACTCACAGCAGGGCACGAACCAGCGCCCTGTTGGAAGATGATGCAACCATGAAAAACCCGTTGAACTCTTCCAAACCCGAAACCCAAAAACTCAAATCCTGACAAATGCCAACCGAGCCCTGAAGCTCAAACCCTACACACTGAACCCTACAACAACAAAGGGTAGGGCTCATGAAAGCTGGAAAATGGGAGCCATATGAACTTACTTGTCCGCTATCCTGGGGGAACCACATGTTAACCTTTCGGACTATGCACCAACAAGGCCAACAGGTTACCTACTGTACGCTGAGCAGAAGCACCATGGACCATCAGTGACCTCAAAACCTTAAGGGTCAATGTACCCAAATGGTATATACTTTGGCCTTACTATCAGGTACTTTGGGGCCAAAGTATACACTACCTCGGCACATGGACCCTTATACCCAAAGCCCGAAACCCTTATGGCACTTATAGAACCCTTAGTACAAGATACAAGTATATACTACTAGTGGGCGCATGGACCAGGCAAAAGAGCAGCCAGAGCCCTCAGCTAAGGGTCCGGCATGCCGGCGCCACGCCCTGGGCCAAGGCAGCAGTTCGCCGTAGAGCGCTCAGGACTTCTAGGGCCCTACTGTTTATGATATAAATCCAGCATTACCTTAAGGACCCTAAAACTATGGGAATTATGGTATCTTCCTTGTTATGGGCAATGCAGGATTTACATCATCGACCGTAGGATTTAGGGTTGAAGGTCTAGGTGTGCTAGGGTAACATAAGGACTTAAGACTGAGGAACTGCATGCCATCATTTCCGGCACTGCCCCCAGACAGAAATCTTAAAATCGTTTCTGTGTGCCCTTACTAATGATTGAAGCTCCTGCAGCAATCAACAGGCGACCATTATCTCCTGATCGCGGCTTCGAGGCTTTTCCAGAAGATGAAGATGGATAGTAGCAATAGCAGAAGCGATCAACGACGATGAGAGTCACAGGGGTAATACGCTAACGAGCAAATCAAAAGCAGCCGGAGATAGCCCGTAACGCTTATCTGCGATTCTACGTGTTTCTGTTGCGACGTCAGAGGGCTTTTACCATGTCGCGAAACATCTTCTACAGATTTTACGATTGCGGGCCAGATGCAAAGACGAGCCTCAAAGCCTGGCCTGCACGACTAAGCAATTCAGAGATCCCCTGCACCCTAAGCCCCGATAGCCCGAAGCCCTGATACCCTAAGCAATAAACTCCCCAGAAACCCTAAACCTGATACCCTGAAACCCTAACACCTAAACCCTAAACCATAAACCCAGTTAAGGGTTTGATGGCCTTCTGCCACACCAGCAGGGTCGTCACCTCAGAGGGCTTCGTGGCTCAGTGCTTCAGGCAGAATCAGTGGGGTTGGTTGCAGCTCTGGGGTTTAGGGCTTGGGGCTTTGGAGGTTAGGGCTTGGAGAATATAGGGCTTGGGGTTTGGGCCTTCGGGATTTTGGAACGTTTTAGTTTAGGCCTTTAGGGATTAGGATTTAGAGTTTAGGGTCTAGGCTCCTGCAACAACACCAACCCGACATGCCCGCAGCTTTCCCCCTCACAGCCCCTCTGTATTTTAGAAATATTATACCAAATCCTCAATATTCAGAACCACAGCCCGACGAAATCCTCGGAACTCTGTAAACCCACAGGTCCAGCAACCTGAGAAGCTCCGCCCCCAAAAACATCGTTGAGGATCGTGAGAAGAGAATTCGAAAACCCCCAGAAGTCTAGCACACCTACAGCCCTAAGGCCCGAAAGCCAAAGCCCTAAAGCCCTAATAAATCCCGAAACCCTAAAACCCTAAACCCTGAACCCTGTGGGTGCCCTGCCAGCGCCACGGGCAGGGCCCCAGCCAAGGAGCGCCTGAGGTCAGAGGGGGGCCTCGAGATTTTGGGTTCGGGTTATAGGGTTTCAGGTTCAGGGGATTTAAAGTGTAGGGTTTAGGGTTCAAGGTTTAGGGCCTTGCGGGTTTAGTATTTAAGGTTTGGGGTGAAGTGTTTAAAGTGTATTCTTTCGGGTTTCAGGTGCAGCGGCCACGGTTTCCACGGCTTAGGCTTAGGAGATTTCTCTGCGGTGTTTAGGGTGCAGGATCCGTCTCCACGGCGCCTGTAGGGTGTGAGATCCTTCTCTATCGGCCCCGAACCCCAAACTCCTGAATCACGAACCCTCCCCTGAACCCTAAACCCTTAACTCCTAAACACCGCACCCCTCAACCCTGAACCCTAAACCTTCTGAGCTCTTTCTCAAGGCACACGAAGCAAGGACTTTGGGGAAAACTGCGGCCTGCTGCTGTATTGGGGCGGCTGCGCCGCCTTATCGTCACCTCAGCCAAAGGAAAATGGGACTTTGTCAGGATCGGCTCTGACCGACGTCTAATGACACGAACCGTTCTGTGGGACACAGACGTTGCCTAAGACACCTTGGATTTAAGACACAGGCTCTGTAAGGGTTTATAAAGGGTTCTATGAGGGTTCGGAGTTGGGGCTATAAGGCTATAGGTACCATAGCTCTAATGATTTACTTACTCAGTCCTTGGATCCTCCAAGTAGCTCAGGGCTTTAAGGCTCAGGGACAGTCATAAGATCTTGAAATCTTTCAGGGTTTAGAGTTTAGAGTGCTTAGGGACAGACCCATGACCTTCAAAGCTGGAGGGGGAGGTTCGCGGAGGGAGGGATGTAGCAGACGCTCAGGGAATAGGCTCCTAGAGGCTGCGCAATCCAGATCCTTATACCCAAATATCCGAAGACCCCAGCATCCCCGAACCAGGCTGGAGCCATCCCAAAGCCCTTTCAAAAAACTTCTGTGTGGCTTTGCAGGCCTATGGAGACACTAAAACCCGGGATCTCCCAAACCAACCCTAAATCCCGTGACAGCCCTGAACCCCGACGCGGCCCTGACTGCCATCAGCAGGGCGGGCGAGGAGGCTGATCCTCACGCCAATCTCAATTACCAACACTCTCCCTTAGGGCTCTTACCATGGTTGTAATTGCCAGTACTATTCCTTACTGTAAGTTCTGATTCTGATTCTAATTACCAGTACTCTTCCTGAGTGCTCTTACTATGGCTATACTTGTAGCATATCATGTACATGCAGGAAAAGGCGCCAAACTCGGGGGGAGTGTCCAGTCGAGGGTTCAGGAACCTTCCTCCAGCGCCTCCGACAGTCCCGGGTCCCAGCGAAAGTCAGAATCTGGCGAAGGGCTTCGGAGCAAACGTCTTCAGAAGTAGGGCTGCAAGGTCTCAGAATTGCTTGTAGCCAAACAAGTACATATAGTGCATATAGTTTCACTTGCACGAAAATGTTGCCCAGACCCCGGGGAGCCTGAGACGACGATACTCAAAATAGCTAGTAGCCCCAGATTCAGGTGAACCCAAACCCTGAACTCACTCGGAGGGAGTACCTCGCTGGCTGCCGCACCGGGCCGACGAACGAGACCGCCTGGGGCTTTTGGCGCTCGAAGAATTTAGGGCCCTGTGGCGGGCTTGGGGTTTAGAGCTTTCGGGTTGAGGATGTGGAACCACTAGGTTTCGGTTAAGGCCTGGAACCACTAGGAATAATTTAGGCCATGTACTCTCCACATTGAGAAGTCAAGCAGGGCGGTGTCGGGTTGCAGCCTCGAGGCTCGTAGGCTGCTTAAACTGGGCTCTTATCAAGGAACTTGACTTCAGTTGCCATAACAAGGAAATCAAAAAACAACTATAAATCCCGATTATGCTAACTTCGGGGAAATTCCTTAACAAGAACCTGGCTGACCGGTTCAGGGAGGCGCTCGTTGAGAGCTTTCATGTCAAGAGCCATCTCCAAGTCCGGTCGGATCTTTGGCTTTTGGGGACTAGGGGTTTAGGGTTTAAGGGCTTTGGGTTTAAGGGTTTAGGGTTTAAGGGTTTTGGGCTTAAGGGTTTAGGGTTTAGGGGTTTAAGGTTTAGGGGTTTGGAGGTTTATGGGTTTAGGGTTTGAGGGTTTTGGGTTTAGGGTCCTCCATGTGTCATAACTTCTTAGCGGGTAAAGGGTGGTTTTGTGGGCGAAAGGGGCAGGGTCTCTGAAGGGCAAGGGGTTGAAGGAGACAGCATGAGAAGCTGCGCTCGGTGGCCCCGGACAGGTTCCAAGCTCCCGAGCCCAGATCCTCCGAAGTCTACCGGAACACAACGCCCTTCCCGAAGATCGGGTGTGGTCCCATGGCGAAAATGAAGCAAACAGTCTAAGCATTAAACAATGACAAAGCGTCTCCGCAAACGACGAAAATCATAGTGGCACTAAATCGACGTCCCCGCAATCTCCTTCAGCTTGGTCCCATCATCAGCTGCAGAATCCTAAATCATACTCACCCGACTCATCGACGTGTCAACCGCACCCTGCCCCGGCACCTCCAAGGCGTGTCTCAGCAGCAGCGCGCCGCAGGCAAGAAGGAGCAGCTTCTTTCCCGCCATGGCCAGTACTCAACGCAGCACGCGTTGATTCTCACAGTAGTTGATGCGGACGATAGGGGTCATGATGGTAACGGTGGTGCCACGAGTCACTAGTCATCTTGGTGACAGTTGCATTCGTAGCATTCGTAGCTGCACCTGTTCTTACAGCAGCGAAAGCTATAAGACATAGGACCACCAAACGAGTCCATGAAGTGACGGCTTGTGCATGTCTCAGCTCTGATAGCCAGATCGCAGAGGTCGCTCCATGCTACCTTAGGATTTAGTTTACAGGGCTTAAACTTAGACGCTGAGCCCTGAACCTTAAACGGTTAGGGCGTCGGGCTTTCATGGATTCTGAAGCTGACCGCATAAGCTCTGTTTGCAACTGAGGCTTCGACTTTCAACCAAGGCCGAAGCTCCCTTACAAATCCTTAACACCACAATCACATTCGGTGGGTATTTTGGGTAGTTTCTTCCTAGTACCAGCCAGAACACTAACTCAGATCTTGATGGCGTGAAGTGCAAGCACCAGCGCTTTTGGGGTATCGCCGGGGTTTCCCGGAGATCGCCTGTCCTGGTCGGAAATTCTCCGGCCCATCAGATGCAGCATGCGCTCTCCCCCTCCCTGGAAAGCAAAAGCAGCCCTAGCCGTAGCTTCGGGCAGGTGGTCGGGAATCCCGGTGACTTGACTTCTAACTCGCTTGGGGTGTAGGGTTCAGGGTTCTGGGCTTGGGGGGCTTGGCCCTGCAAGAGCCCATGACTGCATCTCCGCGTGACAGCAGCGGCTCATCCGCAGCTGCCACGGCTGGTCCGGCATGTAAAGAGGATTGGTGGATGCGTTCATGCGGTTGCCATGAACTCCACAGAAAACTGACGGAACCAAGGGCACCCGATCATGTTCAGGAAGCCCTCCATTCAAGCACTGCCTGCTGCTGTTGCAACCTGCCTGCAGTGCAGATTTGCAAACTATGGAAAACGAAATCGTGGAAAATAAGAATTTCAAACATTCGGCTCCAGTGGCTGTGAGACCTGCGCGACCTCGGCGCTGCGGAGGAGTGGCGTGGGGCGGCTTTGAAGAGTTTCCATTCGGACTCTCCGTTAAACCCTAAACCCCAAGCCCTAAGAGCCGCAAACCGCCCTCACCAACCGATGCAGCCACTAAATACTAATCGTCAGAAAACGCACTAACCAGTTCATCGCTTCGTCACCCCGCATATACCCGTCACACCTCATCCAACATTTGGGCAGGGTTGTGGGCGCGTACGCACACACCTACATATATAATTATATATATATATATATCTGTTGTATAGTGTATAGACATACATACCGATACATGCATATCTACATGTGTATTTCACAACTTTATAACTAGATAGGGACTGTTAAAGCACATACGAGTGCTCATGACTCACACCCGTTGCTAACTTTACATACTCATGCTAGTAGCCGGTGCTCCTTTGGATCATATCTTGGTTTCTTCATCAAGTAGGCTTCGGAGAGAGGGTCCAAGTGAACCCGAAACACCTCAAGCCTACAAAAGCCACACATGCCTCAACTCCCTAATGTAGGGGCCTTAACAATTGGAATAGGGTTTTGGGGTATATTATACTCTAACCATACTAAGGAACCCGCCACAATAGTATAAGTAATTATTTAGGCCTCTATATTACGAACAGACCGGGACCGCAAACATGTCCCCCACATGCATGGAGATTTCATCTGCGGCAAGGAACTGGCCGTCGCGGCTTAGCACACCTGGCGAACGAGCAAAAGAAGACTACTAGCGTTGATCCCGATATGTATGGGTGTTGGAAACACCGATCAGGATTCAGGTGTCCATGATCCTCATCATGTCTCTGTGTCCTGCCACAGTTTACTACTACTACTACTACTACTACTACTACTACCACCACCTACCACCACCTGCCATCATGGTGACAACTTGCATACTGCGTCTTGTTCTTGATATGAACAAAGTCGTCCTTACAAGGTATCTTGTGGCACCGGTAAGCCTCTCGCAGTCTCAGGCCCTGGGCTGCAATGACCGGGCATGCGGGAGGCTTCAGTGAAAGACTGCAGCTGCTTCGGGTATACTTAACTCTTAGGCTCAGAAAGGTTTCGGGTTTCAGATTACGGCTTAAACCCACCCGAAACCCTAAACCCTAAACCTTACACCCTATCTACATGGGCTGCAACGCCTTAACCTTGTCCTCGAACGCCAGAAATCCTACACATCCCACGCTGGGACCCACACCCCCAAGTCCGGGGTCGCGGAACACCGGGCACTCCAAGTGCGCCCAGAAACAACGGTGGTTTAGGGTTTAGGGGCTTAGGGTTTTAGGGAAACTCCATGCCCAGGAAGGCTCGAAACCGATGGAACTCCGAAGCACAGACGGTGACAGGAGAGCCTCTAACGGCTGAATCAAAGCCTTAATCTTTGAACTCATAAGACCTCAAGCCTCATCCCCCAACCCTGAGCGCCTAAACCTTGTCTCCTGAGTCCCTAAACCCTGAAGCCAGAACCCCGGAATCCCCCGGCACCTGCTTGTCCGTCTCCAGCGTGACAGACGCGACGCCGCCCTTCAGCGTGTCCTTCACGGCCAAGACAGACAGTGCCCATGCTTACAACCCTGTGGCCACAAGCTCCGTAACCCGAGCCAAGACCACAAGCCCTGTACTTCTGAGCCGTGGAATTCTAAACCCTGCAACCCTCAACCCTTTCTACCCCACATCCTGCAACACTAACCCTATGGTAACAAATCCGGGGCCATGTTGAGGCAAGCTCCACGTCCTTGACGCCCAGCTCCTCGAAGACGGCCTGCGAAGAGTCGAAGTTTGCGTCAAAAACCTACGACATTACTTTGCCTTACTTTAACATCCTGAATCCCAAACCGCAGCTCATGTTGTGCAGAGCTTACAAGTCATGGGGTGTAGGGTCGGTTTATTGAAGGTTCAACTGCTGCCATGACAAACGACCCTGGATAAGCTCATGATAGCAAGCCTGCAGTCACTTAGGTAGTCAGAAGATAGAGCGGTGATCTCATCTGGTCCCAATTTCGGGCGGAGGACTTGCAGCTTGGTGGACTAAGGTTGACACTTCTGGCTCTAAGCCAGCAACCGCTGAAGATAAATAATTTTAGAGAGCTGATGTAAGGTTGGGTTTCTGTGATGCGCTTAGCTCGTGTCTTGAAAACCGAGCGAAGTCTGCATCGGGTGTCCTTGGGCAGCAGTGGCGTTGTTTATAATGTTGATTTCTGGTCTCTGGCATGCTCAAGCTGCTGACAAAACTCCATAGGCCGGCCGCTAGAAGCCGAGGGAAGTCCTAAACTCCTCAAACTCCGAGACCCTAAAGGCACCTGAGCCCCAAATCCCAACTCCCACGACTCGTTCTTAAACCCGCCAAAGCCCAAGGACACCTACCGACAAAAGAAGATAAACCCCCAACAGAGAATGGAGAGGTGCGCAAACCGGAACCCCCATAAGGAGCCATAATAATTCCAAAAGGGTTTTGGGGGGTTCCTTTTATTGTAATTATAGTATAAAATTACCCCCAACCCTATTCTAATTATTAAGGCCCGTATACTCATTGCTTCCGAACAGGAATCCCCAGCAAGCCTCGTACTGCAGGGCCGCGTTGCTCCAGCTGAACTCCGCGGAGGCCGCCATGGCCGCCCGGGTCATGGCCTTCACCTTTCACAAGGGGATCCTCTGAGAAATCCATAATAAAGGGGTTCCTCCAAAGGGATCCTATAAGGAGTTCATCTAAGGGATCTGCAAGGGGTTCCTTCAAGGGATCGACAAGGGTTCCTTGAAGGGTCTCCTTCAAGGTCTCAGGTCGGGGCTTAGGCTTGGGTTCAGGGTCGAGTTTAGGTGAGCTTTGCTGTAAGGGCTTCGGATGGCTTCTCTTAGTCTGAATAGGCTGGTGAAGGTGTTGTAGATTCAGAAGTAGCTCATCTCGAGGAGCTGTTGTTATACGAAGTTACAAGGGCGTTTCGGTGGCTGTTTCAAGGGGCTTCGGCTCAGGGTTGAGATTAGATGGGTTTCGGGCGTATTAGGGGTTTTAGGTGTTATCTGGTTGGAACACCTCCGAGGTCTTCGTGCATGGGAAGCCGGAGCCTGATCCCCATCGCAGCGCCCCTCGAAATGTGACAATGGTGACTGTAGCAAAGAAGGCAATACAGAAATATAACAAAATACAAGCAGTAGTCGCGAGCCTGCATCAAGTCTTCAACCCTAAACTCCAAAATCCTACAGCAAGAACTCCGACTGCAATTACAACTGCAATTAAAAGCTATGCTATACAGTTCGTACTGATAGTAACAGCAATCATCGGTCGTATCCGCAGACACAACAAAAGCAGCAAACCCTGAGGCCCTGCCTTCTCGGGCTCCTCGATGAAGAGCTTCGAGGCGCGCTTCAGGGCGTTCGCGATGGACTGGACGGACTCCTGGCGTTTGGGGAGCTTTCGGGGGCTCGAAGGACTTGGTGCCAACTCAAGAAACCCTAAAAGCCCTAGACCCTCCCTGAAACCTAAACCTTAAAACCCTGAAGCCTAATAACCCGTTTTAGTGTTTCGCATGTGGGGTTTGGGGATTTGGAGGCCTCCGGAAGGTTGATTAAGGTTTGCGGATTTGAGGATCTACTACTCGGGAAGTCGAGGTGCGTGGTTTTGGGGTTCAGGCAGTTCGGGTTCGAGGTTATCAAACTCCAGGTCTGTCGGGTCTGAAAGTTTCAGACGTTTAAGGCTTCATTCAATTCATTCAGCGGCCAAGCGGCGGCAACTTCAAGCACACCTCAAACCGGAAGAAAAAAAAGCTCAAGCTGAAATCTACCCAAAGCCTCAACTCCTCCCAGATCCTCCTTCACTCCTTGATACGGGGCGAGGGCTTATGCAAACTAGGGGCGCTGGCCGATAAAGGTCCCGTTCATGTTTCCTAGTTGAACCTTGAGCAATACAGAGCAAGGCCGGCCCTGTAACCCTAGATCCTAGAAGCCGAAACCGCTTAGCCCCTGTAATCCTACAGCCAAAAAAATCTAGAAACCATAATACCCTGACCCCTCCACCTTCAAAAACACCCCATTCTGAGGGCCTCGTCGATGACGGCCTCCACGGACATCTCCTTGTCGGTCCAGAGTCCGTTCAAGCCATCCTGACAGGACCCTTTGGAAAAAAAGCCCCTGTTGCTGGGTCAAACCGTAGTTTAAAGGATTCAGGCTACGGGGTTTGGGTTTATAAGGGTTTCCAGTCAGGGTTTTGAGGTTACTGTTTAGAGGTTTAGCCGTTTAGAGGTTTAGAGGTTTAGAGGTTAGATGTAGGGAGTAGATTGAGCAGACTTCACAGCAGACACCTAACAGCGCGCGCGGGCCCCTGGTCTCGCCTCCACGGTGTCCTTCAGGCCGCCGGTAGGGGCGACGATGGGCAGCGTGCCCATGCGCATGGCCTCCACGGCGCGGAACTGTGCGACTTTGGGGAGACGCTGTCCGGAGGGCTTTTGAATTTAGGGCTTCAGGGTTCAAGCTGAAGTCTCCAGATGTCGGCGTTGGGTGGTAAGGTGATCCCTCAACTCGAAGCAAGGTAAAGAACTGCCCCATCCTTATCAAGGGCACTCTGGGGGCCTTGGCGATCCCTCAGCTCGACGCCTTGAAACCCTCCTGAAACATCAGGCCAACGTTCCCAAGCATCGCAGCCCTAAACCCCGAGCCCCTAAACCCGAAACCCTAAACACAACCCCAAACCCTGAACCCCAAAGGAAAAGTCCCCGAGTCCAGCCTCCATCTGGACCAGGCCGCACGGCTCCCACCTGCAGTTTTCTCGAGGGGTTTTGAGATCATCAGCTTGGGGGTGATGGCCGGTGTGATCAGGGCCAGGGCCTTCGATTTTCGCAAGTAGGGACCTGTTGGCCCAATTTGACCACAGGCACAGGTACCTGCATTTGTGGTATAAGGGGTGCTATGCCCCCCAGATGATAACACTGGCAGCCCGAAGAATTGCCCGAACTGTGTTTAGATCCTCCTAGAGCACATCTGGATACTGGCGTTGAATGGCATTCACGGCATATTCCATAGTAAACCTCAACTGCTAGAGCGCACACGGGGCCATTGGGATCAAGGTGTGCCTGGACGGAAGCAGCGTGTAGTCGCAGCCGGCCAGCAGAGCGTAACGCTCAGGGCCCATCCAGCCTGCGCAGGAAGACTGTCCGTTGATCTTCTTTACCCAACAATCAGAGTGAGTAGTAAGCACGAGAGAAGGCGTCGGGGAGTTAGGTTTTCGGACTAAGGCTTTGACCAGGCTTTGACTGTTTGGCACACAAGGAAGCTTCAAAACTTTAACTGTTCACGTGCGACCTCCTTGCCACGTTGGCCAGGGTGTGAGTTGAAAGTGCCGGCCCATTAGACAGGAATCTAGCAAGGCCGGATGATTGGGAGTGGTAGTCCAGTCCTGGAACTTGTTTCTTGTGGAGACTGTAGAGACTCACCGGTTCTACGGGCCTGCATAGAAGAACTTGCTGGGATACTTCTTCTCGACGGCCTTCGTCCTGTCCACGCATCGCAACATTTGGGTTCGGCTGCGAGCTTGTGCGGCGGCTTCAGAGTTCAGGGTTTAAGGGCTACCCAAGCCGCAAACCCTCAGCCCTTAGATTCCCGAAGAGCCCACACCCTTGCGGCCGCGAGGCTGAGCCACGAGGTCGGCTCGTCCGGAGCCCACGATGACCACCTGCAGCTCGGTGTCCTGGCCAGAACTTGCGGGTTTCTGAGTGCTCCCGTATTCCCCTCATAGTACAGGTACCCTTATTCCTGCCATGCAGCTGCAGTAAAGAAACCCCAATGCGCGATGCTGCACGGAGCATTGTTCGTTTGCAGAGGTTACCATTCTGCTGCTACTGCTGCTGCTATTACTAAGTGAGCGGCAGCAGGCAGAAGCAGTCGCAGCGACAGCAACAGCCTCAGCAGCAGCAGCAGCAGCAGCAGCAGTTGTTGTGATCGACGCCGTAATCGTAGCATTACAACAACAACTACCACTACCACTCGAATGCTTTTGGTTTGACATGTGCGAGTACCAGTCTACTGGAGCGCTGTGATTCGCAACCTCAGACCTCGAATCTGAAACAGAAAAAATTAACCCTATAGACAAAACCCGAAGCCCTAACAGAAGCAAACCATGAAGAATCCCCAAACCCTTCCGAATCCCCCGAGTGTTCCGAAAAGCCGGCGGGGGCGGGCGGTCTGGAGCACTGCCTCGAGGATCTCCACCAGGGCCTCCAGAAGCAAGTCGTAGCCCTTCTGGGCATCCAGCCTGCAAGGGGTTTAGGGCATCCAGCCTGCAAGGGGTTTAGGGTCTAGGTTGAGTTTATGGTTTGTAGGTTTTAGGGTTAGGATTCCAAGGTAGTTGTTAAAGGTTTCGGGCTTGGGGCATCAAGTTTTGTTGAATCAGGAGTGTAGTAGTGATCGGGCAAAGAGTCTTGGGTGGCCGGATGCATGGTAAGCTGGTGAAACGGCTGTCTGTTGTTGTTGATAAGCATTTGCGACTGAGGTTGGGAGCTGAGGAACTCGGACAAGCTCTAGGCCTGAAAGATGCAGAGCCCACAGGTTGTAAGTGATCATTCCTTCTTCCCCCATCCCATATATTCCCTCAGTAGCCCTGATTTTTTTAAACCCCGCGTGTCCGCATCTCGGACCTCGAGCTACAGCTTCAGCCGCTACAGTCTCAACACAAAGACATCTGACATATTACGCCAATTTTCTTAAGCGGCCCCGAAGGCACTAAGACGTTATTGCCCCTCAACCGCCCGTCTGAGCTGACAGCCTTCCGATGAAGCACATCAGAGGGCCCGTGCAGTCCGGAAGGTTGTTCTGCGCACGGTAGGTGGCCTGGCCATAAGCACATGCTCAATTTCCCGAAAACTTTTCGAGGCCCCAAAAGCCAGGAGCATAGCTACCCAAGACGTTAGAAATCTTAAGATCTCACAAGTGCAAAGTCCTGAAGACCCAAAACTTCGAAAAGGCCAGAAGCCAACAAAACCCCAACTCTCACAAAGGTTCCACAACTCCGAACGACAACCCAAACCCCTAAGAATCCTAAACTTCCTGGAGACTCTAGTTAAACCCTATAGAAACAACCAAGAATCCTAGAACACAATAAAAACCCTATAAATCCCGATGGACCGCGCCTTCAGCTCCGCCTTGGCCTCTGGGGCGGTGGCGGCCTCGAGCTGCGGGATTCTTTCTGAGCTGCTGTTGCTTTTTTCTTTAAATATATATATATATATATATATATACTTGTATGTGTATATATATATATATATAAGTATATATATATATATATATAAGTATGTAGCATGTTCATATTAGGGCTTGTAGGGATTAGGGTTTGGGGTTTGAGTTGTTTTATATGGGGTTTTGTCGAGAATTAATGGGGGTGTTCTAAGGTTTGGGGTGTGTAAGGCTGCAAGCATAGCGTAGCATACGCTGGCATCTGCTGATGAAGATCCATGGATCAGAGCATCCGTACAGGGGGCTGGAAGGTGGACGGTGCTTGCAGGCCCTTCTGGCGCCGGAGCTTTCATGGGATCTCTGTGAGCATACGAAAGGCTTTGTGCAGCCTGTAGTAAACACCAGGATCCTGCTTTGGACTCAGGACTTCTTGGGGCCACGGTTTCAGGTCCTGTTGAAAGCCTGTAAAACTCTGAAAAGCCCTGCAAAACAAGCTCAAGCCCTCAAGCCCTGTGAAAACGCAAGCAAAAACCAGTGGGGCTTTCCGGGGTCTACTGATCTCTCAGATGCAGACCGTGAAGGCTCCGCAGGTCATCATGGTCTTCGTAACGAAGTTCTTGTCGCTGGGGGACACGCCCTCCTTGACGCCGTTCAGGATTCCTGCGCAAGGCAATTTAGTGCTTAATGCTTTCTGTTAAAATGCATCGGACTTTTCGATCACTCGCAAGCCCAGCCTTTACGGGCATGCACTCCAAACATGTTCAGGGCATTGCGGCCTTAGGGTTAGGGCTGAGGTTTAAGGTTCCATAGGGGCAGCATGAAACGGCAATCTTGCGAAGCATATCAACAATATTTCAAAGCTTTGCGTCGTGGGCAAAAAGAAAGAGCGCCGCAGAGAGCTTCCGATGCCCAATCTTTGAGGCTTTAGGGTTTCGGACGCCGCAAGAAGACACCGAGGACTGCGCTGAAGGGAGGGCTGAGACCAATTCTACACAACTGCGGAGGCAAGGGGCTTCAGGAAGGGAAAGCTGCATAGCTAAACAAATTCATGATAACTCACATGCCACACCTCTGGCGGCTGACTGAATCAAACATGCGCAGAGCTCATTGAGACTTGAAGTTTGAGATTGCAAGTGTCCTGTGCACTTGCCCAGGGTGAAGAGGTCCTCCAACTCAACACCCTGTGCCAGGGCCGGCTGTCCCACTGGTCCACTGTCTGCCAGGCTTGCGCCCAAGAGCCCTGCAATCCCGTCAACTTGAAACCCTTGAAGTCGCCTGTGCAGTACTACTTACTTAAAAGAACCCTTCCAGTAGCCCTTCTACTTGCCACGCCTTCTCCGGGTCCGTGCAGCACTCCACGGCATAGCTGGGAGAGACAGTCAAGGCCTGAGCATCACTACGAAGGAGCCATATGGCTTAAGACTTGGGGCTTCAAGACCCCACAAGGAAAACGCTCCCTAAATACCAAACGTGCGGCTTCTGTAGCATGGTCCAGCCATGCGTCGCAGTTGCCAGATTATAATACCTGAGACGCAGGCCCGGTCGGCGTAGCGCAGGCCGGCAGCCATCGTGTTGATGCAGGATTTCTGCCGCAGGCTCAGGGTTTAGGATTATCGGAGCCAAGCTGAACACTTAAATCTTGTACCTGTGCCTGCCCTCCCCCTCTGAACCAAGGGTACTCCATGCAACCACATGGGTGGGGTTGCTTTGAGGTTCCTTAAAGGGATCTATATAAGGGCTTCTAGTAGGCTTTCTACAAGGGTTCTGTATGGGTAGTTTTGTTAACTCCGGGTCCCTCGTTAGACGCCCAAAATAGCACGGCACCCTTATAAAAAGGAGCGTTAAAGGGACCCTAATTTAGAGAACTACCCACACAAATAGGATCCTTGTATTCGCGTGTGTTTGTCGAAAATCCTCAACTCCACAAACCTCTGAACCATGAGCCCTAAATCCTATATCACTAAGTCCCTCCATCCCTGGAAGAATCGTAAGCAACTCTTCTTGGGATGTTCCACTGACCCACCGCCTTCTCGTTGTACTTTCCGATGCGCAGAGGCATCTTGAAGGTGATGCCTAGGTCATGACTAAGAAGCCTTATTCCGTACTAGATTAAAACAAGCTACTTACTAGATTAAAACAAACTGCTTAACAAGAACCCAGATGCTGTCGATGTAGCGCTCCGGTACACCAAAGACGCTTGCAAGGCCTCGTCAGCGGGGTTATCAAGCGGAGCATCTTTCGTTGGTTTAACGTGAATTGGGGCATGATTTTTGTTGTATTATTTTTGGTATTTGTTTCCGTATTCTTGGTTTTTCTTACGGAAAACACTGTTTTCTTATGGATTCTCTGTCATTTCCTTAGGTTTTGCTTGGTTTATCCTCGTGAAAAACACTATTTCCTACGGATTCCGTGTGATTTCCTTAAGTTTTTTGTCCATTTTCCTACGGTTCTGTGTCATTTCCTTAAGTTTTTTGGTTTTTCCTAGGGAAAACACAATTTTCCTACGGCTTCCGTGTCATTTCCTTAGGTTTTCAGAAGGAAAACCCTGTTATTATTATTATTGTTGTCATTGTCATTGTCGTCGTAGTTGTAGTTCTAGTTGTAGTTGCTGTTGTTGTTGATGTTTACTGACTACTATACATATATTGCATATAATATGTGACATTTAATACACTATTTGCTACATAGACGATGTATATATTGGACTACTACTTCAACTACGACGACGACTGTTACTCCTCCCCTTTCAGTCCTTCCTATCTTCCTTTCTTCCTTCCTTCATTCCTTCTTCGTTCCTTCCTGCCTTCCTTCCTTCGTTTCTTCGTTTCGTCCGCTTCAAGAGAAGAAAGGAATAGAGGTTTTCCTAGGGAAACCGAAGGACATGGCACTGAATCCTTCCAACATGAAAGGAACATGATTGTTTTCTAGGAAAAACAACGAAAACGTACAAAAAAGAAAACCTAAAAAAATAAGCCCTCCGTTTAGGGCTGTTTTATGATTCTTGAAGGGGGGGTTGGGTGTGGTGTTTAGGGGTGCACGGTTTCGAGGGTTTGGGGCCTTGGCCGCTTTAGGGGATTAGGGCTTGTGAGAATTTCTGCTCTTTAGCGGGGTGGGCCTCTGGGGTTTCGGACGTAGGGTTTCATGTTGGGGGTTTTCTGTAGTTTGAGGATTACTACTACTCTTACTACCGTTGTTGAACATACTACATTGCTGAACTTAAAAACTAACGATCCTCGGGCGCCTTCCTCGCGCACGAAGCGGCCCTGGAAGACCGCGTTGTGGCAGAGGAACGCGGACTTCGTGTTCGTCCAGTTGCCTGCGAAAACTTGGGAGTTGTGTGTGTGTGTGCGCTAGGACTTGATGCTCTAGCGGGAGCGTGTTGGCTGGGGTTCAGAGTTTGCAGGTTGTCGCCCGATCTGAAGATCAAACCCGGCTATACCCACCTAAAGCCACCTTGAGAACCCGAAGTAACGCTGCAAAGCCCGTCTTATCTCGGATCCGGGCCTGTGGGCTTCTCGGCGTGGATGAGCATCGGCACAAGCGCCGAGTGCCAGTCGTTGCAGACGACCATGCAGTCACCGCCGTACCTCGAGTTTTCGGTCCAGGGCGTAGCCGGAAAAAGCCAGCAAGTAGAGTTTTGGGGTGTCGGGTCCAGAACTGAGGTTTATGCTATGAAGGATCCTCAAGACCCAAACTCTCAATGCCTGTTCCCACGAATCTAAGCCAAACCAAGAGTTGGAGGAAGCCTCGCAACTGTGCAGCCGGATCCGAGCCCCCCCAACCTTCGATTTCCGGGGAAGCCGATAACCCCAAATCCCACCCCAGGAGATTAAAAGATGCGTTTCTATTCCTAGGAGTAGACCATCCGGGTTGCTTGCTCACAACCTTTCTTACGAAGCCGCATACAAAATCCGACGATCTTCCAAATAAACCCGGAGACCTTCCGCAAACCCCTTCAAAACAGGCTAATATAGGGGTCTTAGTCATCAGAATAGGGTTTTCGGATCTATTATAGCATAGTTGTAGTTATATGAAGGAACCCCCAAAGTACGATTGGAAATTCTTTAGTCCCCTAAAATCTACAACCCCGCAACACCCGAAACGAACCCTACGAAGTCTCCTCGGAAAGCCACGGAAAGACCGAGGCCCGAGCACGGCCCCGCCCAAGGGCAGCTCCTGAATGGCCTTCAAGGCCGCCTGCACGTTAGGAAAGCAAAGTCTCTCAAAGGCCCTTATACCATGAGACCTAAAACTTTGAAACTTTGAGGGTGGTTTCAAACTACAGATATAAAGAACATTGGGAGCCCTAAGGAACAAGGGTTCAGGGTTAAGGGCTGCAAGGTTTAGCAGCTTGGATTTCAAGGTTTGAGCTGTGGTGCTTGTTCAGGAGTTTTGCTTGGGGTTTGGGATTTAGCGGTTTCTCAAGGTGGTCCTGGCTACCATCATCATGATTTGTGGTTGTTTTGGATGTGTTACCTTTATGCCACATTCCACCGCTACAAGCAGACTACACTACTACATCGTCCCCAGAACTGGTGCGATTGCTAATGCTGTTAATATAGGGGCCTTAATAAGTAGAATATGGTTTTGGGGCCCATTGTACTATACCCTCAAAATATTATTGTTAATTATTTAATACCCTCAAAATAATAGTGGAATTTATTTAGGCCCCTACATTAACGTTTAGACTTGGGAAGCTACGGCTTCGGCTGCTGGCCTTGCAGAAGTAGGCGAAGCGAGCCTGGTTGTCCGCGAAGTCCTGCAGGGATTGTACGCCGGGTTCGGGGGTTTTGGGGCTAGGACCAAAGACTGAAGCTTTTTTTGGGCTGGAGGGTGGGGATTCAGGGCTTCGGGGTCGCCCATCTATCGCGACAACGAACCAACGATGCATCGAGAAAGCCGGTCCTGACCCCACTCCGGGCCGTACAGCTTGGCACCTGGTAAATAAAGCTCAGATAGTGACGCATGTGCAAATGGATGATGCCGCGGGTAAGAGAGCAAGCACGGCTTCACTGCCTTGATGCTTGCTGGGACCAACTCCCCACTTCCCCTGGGCCTGTCAGTCCGTTGACGCGCTCCAAGAAGGTGGGGTGATCGACGAAGACGTAGTCGACCTGCAAGCAGGAGCCATGCCATGCTGCTGGAGCTGGGATGGAAAGAAACAGCGGCCTTCTGCTTGTAGGTGTGGAAGAAGTGCACGGACTCGTTCTTGCCGCCCATGGGAACGGAGCTCCAGTAGCCCGTGTCCCAGGCCTCCTTGTACTGGTCGTAGCCTGCAGACGCAGTGAGGACGAGACGCCAGCCCTTGTTGGCTCAGCGATGGAAGAGGATTGCCCTCGCCCTCGGATCATGCTTCCGAGGAGCGAGGAGAGATGACCATGCAGCGGTGGCCCAAGGCTGCGAGCGCAATGGGCAGGCCGTCCATGGCCTCACCCAGGCCTGAAAAGCACGTAGGCTGTGAAGATTTGGCCCGAGGGCACCGCACAAGGAGCGCCTCCAGTCTTCGAGAAGGGTGCCACTTCACTGGTCACGAACACGATCCTGACAGGATTTCTGCTGACACAGAACAGGCACAAATTATAGTCTAGGCACCTATCTATGACACACGGTGCATGCGCCAGCCCGCTCGCCGAGGTGCTGGTACTTCTTGCTGATAGTGGTGACCAACTTGCCATTAGCCATAGACACGGCAGGGCGTCCCTGACGCAAGGAGAAAACTCCACGACACGCAGTACACACTTCTGGGCCGATGAATTTGTGACGGTCGTGTAGTGCTAGTGCCTCAGCCATGGCACGTCCCACAGCCACCGCAGGTGGCCCGATCTGCGGATCAACGCGTCGAGACATTTACAGGCAGAAATCACACGAATCCGCGTGAAGCGCGAACCTTTGGGGCGCTGCTGGGCAGAATGGCGCCGGCTGCCTCAAGCAAAGCTGCGATGAAATCTGACCGCGACAACCCCCAACCGGACAAAGCACTGTCCAGGCCTTGGCATAGCCCCTGGCCGGGCCAACGGAGCTGGTGGTATAAGCGCTGCTGGCGACCTCGCCCGCAGCGACCGGCTTGCCGCTGACGATGTTCAGCACCTGAGCAGTCAAAACGCTCCACGTGCGAAAGCTGTAAGGAAGCAAACTGCAGATGCCACACTTCCCGAAGGCGAGCCTTATACCCATGCCCTTGATGAAGCCTAAACCCCAAACCCGAAGCCCTGAGCCCCTGAAAAAGGCCAAGACACGCTCCTGGGGGCGGCCTGGGTCATGGCGGCGGAGCCGGCGTACTTCGAGGTGGTGGGCATGGCCGCGGCCGGCTTCGCCTTCGCCTCCAAAGTAACGAAGCCGCAAGGGGTGTAGGGTTTAGGGTTTAGGGTTTAGGGTTTAGGGTTTAGTTCTATAGGGGTAGCAAACCCTTAGAGAACTTTTTGAGAGAACAATTACGGTATCCCTTGCAGCATGCTTTTGGAACCTGTTAACGTTTTTAACTCTAAAATGGTAACACTGAGTCCCGAACCCTACTATCGACCCTTGATATAATCTTTTCGTCAGCACTACAAGAGCTTTTTAAGGAAGCCTTTAGCGAACCCTTCTTAGGAACTTAAGAACCCCGATGCCAACCCGTAGTAACCCTTACAGTAACTCTACATAGAGCCCTTGTAGAACCTTGAAGGTAGCCCTTAGAGGAACCCTGAAAGTAATCCTTAAAAAAGCCTCAACCCTAAACCCCCTAAACCCAAACCCCCAAACCGCTAAACCCAGAGTAACCCTAAGTAACCCTAAACCACCTAAACCCCTACTCCCTACTCCTTAAAGCAACCCCTGACAGGAGCCCCAAGCTCGGTCTCTCCAGGCCTTGGGGGCCTCCGCCTTGGCTCCCATGCCTGGAGCTCCCAAACAAACAAAAGGGGGGTTTCGGAAGGCGTAGGAGAGCCTAGCAGGCTTTTGGAGGGTTTAGGAGGGTTTAGGAAGGTTAGAAGGGCTTAGTAGGATCTGTATAGTAGGGCTTCGTAGAACTTAGGATGGCCTGAGGGTTTCGTGGGGTTTATACTAGGGCTTAGTAGGGGTTAGGATTTTGGGATTGGGCTTAGTGTTTATGATACAGAATTTCCTGTCTAGGGACGAGCATTCAGTCAGGGTTTCGGGTTTCGGGTTTAGGAAATTTGGGAAGGGCATGAGGGTGTGAAGGGGACTCAGGAAATCGAGCAGTTGGGAGAGGATTCAGGTAACCCTAAACCCTAAACCCTACATCCCCCAAAGGCCCTAAGCCCATCATCCCTAGATGAGCCTGGGGGGTGTATCCAAAACTCTGGGATTCTGGATTCAAGGTTTTTGGGCCCGGAGGTCCTCACGGCTTCCCGGAGCTTGACTGCAGGGAACACAAGCTGATGAATAGGCGGACCAGCAATATGACGTAAGATTTCTAAGAGGACTAGCCACACCTGTCGCAAGTATAGCAAGTACAAGAACAACCACAAGAAGCATAACAACCCTCAACTCAAACTGCCGGAACCCCATCCGTGTCCTCGTGCCAGGACAGATCCAGTGGCCACCATGCGCTCAGCCGCCGTTGCGGGCTTCTTTCCTTCCTGACACCATGGGCTCCAGCGTTTCACGCTTGCGGACGGTTCACGGTTGAGGCGGTTAAAGATCTAGGAGTCCGGGCCTAGAGATTTTAAGGGTTCGACCCCTCCGGGCTTCAGACTTTCCAGCTCGGGTTCGGAGCAGTTGAGGGCTTGCAGCTGCGGTGGCACGAGAGCCTTGCTTTCTGGCTTAGAGGCTTTCGGATTTTATGCACCTCTTCTGCCACCATCATGTTGCGCTACAGAGCTAAAGAGGCGACAGAGAAGGTAGTTGAGCATCAGCTTGTGAATCATCTGCCTCCTCTACAACAGAACCCAAATGCCGGAGAAAACAAGCCAGACCCGAATGAGATGAAGCTCTGATAAGGTGGTTTAGGGAGCAGGCTCCCTGAACTGCAAACCCTGGATAAGATCCTAAACCCTCAGAATACAAGCTGCGTTGAGAAGCTTCGGCTGCAGACGACAATGAAGTTGCAAGCCCCTCCATTTCTTCAGTCTCCTTGGACCCTAATGGCGAAGACGAAACCCTCAAACCCGAAGTTCTAAGCCCTACACTCGAACCTCCGGACAATTCCGAGACCCCAAGTGCCCTGGCCAGCGAACCGCGCCTCCATGACGGCGGCAGCCGAGGTCGGGGACACCGCCTTGGACTTGGGCACGGCAGAAACCTTGGAAGTCGTGCTTGGAGGACCAAGGTTCAGGCGGTACTGCCGGCAAATCTACTTGCGATGCAGATCACCTCGATGAAAGTCATGCTTTCCCTGTTTACACAACCCGAAGCCCAAAGCCTCGAAAGTCCTGAAGGCGCCCCCCCATCAGTTGACCAAAAATCCTTTACGCCCTGGAAACCGAGACGACAAAACCCTAAGCCTCGAAGCCTCTATTCCCTAAGCTTCGAAGTCCCAGACTCAGACTGTTTAAGGAAAGGCTTCAACCTAAACTTCAAAACTCCCTAAACCCTAGCCTCAATAGCCCCTCAATCGTAAGAGTGGCCTTTTCCTAGCATTCGGTCTGAACGAGTAGATCCGAAAATGAAAGGGCAAAAGGGTACTACCGGGAGATGTAGAAATCTCTAAACTCCTGATGTTGCCGAGCCACGCCCGCAGAGGCCGGGCTGGTAGTGGTCGGACCACTGCCGGAGGCCTTTCCGCTTCTTGGAGCTTATAGGGTTATAGGGAGGGCGCTTCTACGAAGGAAAAATCGTAAGGTTAAGGTGTTTACGATATAGGGTACAGGGTTTAGGGTTTTGCGTAGAAGGTTTGTGAGAGATGATGATGTACAAGGAACCAGAACTGATGTAGGTTTTGGTTCTATGGAGTTTCATGACTACGATTAGGATTATTGCTATGATTAGCGTTATTGCTGCTAGAAAACCCCTCAGCAAGTAATACTGCTCAGTTCCCAAAAGAAACAGAGCCCCCTGAAGCCGCAAAGCCGAAATTCGAAATCCTCACAATCCGAATCCTTACAGAACCTTACAAAACTTGTAGGGAGCCCAGAATATGGAACCCTTAAGGAACCTGAAAGAACCTCGAAGAACCCCCCATGTAAATTCTGCAAGCTCTGGTGCTGCGGCCTTGGGAACCGATCCGCCGGCCACGAGCGCTGCCGCCTTGGACTTTGGCGCCTCGCAGCGCGGAGGACCCAGAGAGCCCAATACCCCTTAAATAAGGAATAGACCTTAAATTAGGGTTAGGAATAGACCTTAAACTATAGGGGCCTTAATATTATGATTTAAGGCATACTCCTTAAGTAAGGGGTATTGGGATCTCTGGGGATGCTATAAAGGCTGCTATAGGGGTTACGATGAGGGCTACTAAATAGGTTACAAGACAATTTTGCTGTGAGGGTTAAATTAAAATATAGGGAACTATAATAAGGCTGCTACAAGGGTCACCGTAAGGGGTCAATCAGGGTTACTACTCTCTTAAGAGGTTCGATTTAAGATTTGTGGCTTGCGGATTTAACGATTTAGGGCTGGGTTTTTGTGGTTCAGGCATCAGGAATGAAGGTTCTGAAACTTAGGGTAGGCAGGCTCAGGAACTGGGGATGTATAGGGACGATGGATGTAATGTAGGGGCCTAAATAAAGACCTGTACTATTTTGGGTGTTCCTTTAGTCATAGTTGCAGTACCCCAAAACCCTATTCGAATTATTAAGGCCCCGATAAACCCTAAACCCTTATAGTAGCCCTAGAAAAGGAACCGACAAAAGGAACCCCCCAAAACCCCTCTTCGAATTCCTTAAGGCGTCAGTAGTAGGATCATTGAGGGTCCAATCTAGGGGCCTCAATAATGAGAATAGGGTTTTGGGACCCATTATACAATAATTCTACTAAGGAACCCCCAAAATAGTATAGGAATTTCTTAAGGCCCTATATTAGGGTTTCTTGGAGTGTTGGGAACCGGCCTACAGGTCCGGCTGGGGTTGAGGGTTGAGGGTTTAGGGTTGGGTTGAGGGTTTTGGGTTGAGGGTTGAGGGTTTTGGGTTGAGAGTTGAGGGTTTTGGGTTTAGGGTTTAGGGTTGAGGGTTTACGGTTGAGGCTCGAGGGTTTAGGGTTGAGGGTTTTGGGTTGGGGGTTTAGGGGAGGGTTGAGGGTTGAGGGTTTAGGGTCGAGCCGCGGGCATGGATGCATTTTACTCTTATGATGCAACTGTATGCAAGGTCAGCGCAGGCTTCCTGGCTCAGTTGCAAAACCCGAAACCTCTAATGATGTATAGCCTGAACCACTAAACCCAAAATGGCCTGAACCCCACAACCCCAAGACCCTGCCACCCTACCGCCCAAACGCCTAAGAGCCCTAAACCCTAGAACCCCAAACCCCAAAGGCCCGAAACCCTAAACACGCCCCAAAGACCCCCCGACAAACCGCGGGCCTGAGGCGCAGAGGCCGCAGATGCCGCCGTGGGAGCCGCACCAGCGGCCTTCACCTTCTCCTGAAGCAGAGGGTTTAAGGAATAGTTTAGTTAGGGTTTCTGCGGTTTTAGAGTTTAGGGCGGGGTTTCAGGGGGTTTGGGGTTTTGGGGTTTAGGGGGCTTTGCGTGTTGGGTTTCGCTGCTTTTCTGAGGCTCTAGACTTGGGCTCTAGGATGCCGAGGATACGTCCCGAGCCTCTAGAACCTGAAACTCTCAAGTCCTCACAATCCGAAATCTCTTCGGGTTCGGGTTCTTACGTTAAGGTTTTGTCGACGTTGCAGCAGCTGGAAGATGCACATGGCCAGAAACTTGATAATGCAGCTTTCCTTCTTCAATGGCCCTGAACCCTAAACCCAGATAGATCTCAGGATGCGGGGACTTGACTTGGGGTCTTGGGGGGTAGGAAGGGTTAAGTCTCGGAGTCACGACTTCGTGGTGCGAAGTTGCAGCTTCCATACCCCAAAAGCCCCAAAAAAAGCCCAAGAGGACGAGCCTCGGCTCCGAAGCCCTCCCGATGGGCTTAGCAGTTTGAGTTTGATGCCTTTGCCCCCGGCACCCAAAGCCCAAAGCGTCCTCGCGGTTGGGAGCCTCCTCCCGGGCCTTGGCCGTCTGGGCAACCTCCGCAGCCTCCAGCACGAGAGCACATACTACCAATACCAATGATGATGCTTCGAAGAAGCATGGGAACTTGAGAAACTGCAAGCCTGCAGGGATTCCTGCCTCTCAGAATCACGAGAGCCCGCAGCACAGAGGCAACACCCTGAAACCAGTGTGTGGTGGAGAGCCTTCTGTAAGTACTTAAACCAGATCAGAAATGTCCCTTCCGACCCCACACTACTACGCCCTTAAGCCTGGACCGCCCAATTGCAGAACCCTCTTGGCCCCTGAAGCCACTAAAGCCCTCCGGAGTTTTCATCCTAAACGCCGAAATCCCAAACCCTCGAGAGCCTTCCCAACTCGGCGTAATGAATTGCGGATTGGGGTTTGGTAGGTTAAGGGCTTTTGGCTCACACTCCACCTCAAGGCCCGACCCCCTCAAACGCAGGGCCTTGGCGACGGGAACGACGGTAGGGGCCTGGGCTGGTGGAGTGGCCTTCGGCGCGGACATCCTCGGACAAAATCACACCGGGGCTCCTTCTGTTCAGGTGTTCCTTTTTGTGAACTGCTTCTTTCGAAAGCTTAGGATAAGGCTCGAAGGCTTCAGGGATAAACGCTTGAGGTGAGGGATTCCGAACAAGTCTAGATCCAGCTTTCAGGAGATGAAAGACATCCACCAAGGTAAATAGGGGGCCTTGCCGCCTGACAACCAAGATACCAAAACCCAAGAACAATAAACCCTGAACCCTGCACCCTATACCCCTTCATAGAACCCGGAAGAGCCCTTAAAGGAACCCGGATCACATCAGCCCCTTGCTCTGAGACAGCGGCTTGGGCTGAAGGAGGAACGAGAAAAAACTACACGCGCTCTGGAGCTTGGAAAATAGCTGCGGTGGGGTATAGGCTTTGGGGTGCGCCTGCTGTCGATGTTTCAGCACATCGTCGTGTTCTCGGGCCTCTGCGCGCCTTTTCCTTTCGAGCACGCGGCTCAGTATCAAAAGCAAAGTAATAGGACTCGAAAGCTGTATTGTGCAAGGAACAGCAGTGGTAGCAGCAGCAGCAGCAGCAGCAGCAGCAGCAGCAGCAGCAGTCGTCGTCGTCGTCGGCCTAGTCACAGTTTTACACAGTTTTAGTCGAGGTAGTCGTCATTGTCGTCATTGTTGTCGTTGGTGTTGTCGTAAGTGTTGTCGTTGGTGTTGGTGTTGTTTTTGTTGTTTTTGCTGTTGTTGTTGTTGTTGTTGTTGTTGTTGCTGTTGTTGCTGTTGTGGCTGTTGCCGTTGCTGCCACCGAAGCTGCCGCTGCTGCTGCTGCTGCTGCTGCTGCTGCTGCTGCTGCTGCTGCTGCTGCTGCTGCTGCCGTTGCTGCTGTTGTTGTTGCTGCAGTATGACCTGTTGTTGTTGCTGCACAGGACAGTAGGAGGAGGAGCAGGAGGGAGAGGCAGCAGCAGCGGCGGCGGCAGCGGTAGCAGCTGCTCATGGAGTTGCTTGTCGATCTTGGAACCGTTTGTGTTGTTGCTGCCGTAGTGACAGCGCTGTAGCGGCAGTCGCCATAGGAGTAGACAACGATGGCGATGTAGATGGTAATGATGACGGCTAAATGATCACCATGACAATCCTCCACATGAAAATTCTGTGAACAGGCACAGTAGTGACACACACCACCGTCATGACCATGACGATCATGCCAGTCCCTTTTTCGATGATGAAAGCTGTTGTTGTTGTCCTGGCACGAAGCAGCCGGGGTTTCCCGGAGATGCGTGTCCTGGTCCACTATTATTGGGTGCACGAGGCACAGGAACTCTTCCCAGCGGGGCGGAAAGAAAACAAAAGGGCTCCAGTCTTCGGGCTTCAAGATGAAAACCAAAGCCCTAAACCTTGGGAGGAGTCCATGAGTGCAGCCGGCCATGACAGCAGAGGTTCACGCCCTGCCCGCACGGCGGCTGCCAGAGCAACGCATGTAAGGCATGCGACGCAGCTAAATGTTCAAGCAACCGTACAGCTGCCATGAACGAAAAGAAAATTGGCGAAACTGGGACACCCGACTCTGTTCGGGGAGCCCCGCATTACAGCATCGACTGAGAGCTTACCCCGTCCTTGTATTCACTGAAGTACTTGACTTTCTAGACACCGATCCGCATTTTTCGCTTGGCTCACGCCGAAAGGAAAACAATGGAAAATACATTATTAAAGATTCAGCCCCGTTGACTCGAGGTTTGCGCGACCTGGGCGCCATGCAAACTCTGAGAAACACCCGAGTGGGTTGAAGAACCCCAGAACTCTTCGAAACTACATAGGCTTGGGGTCTTGGGTTTCGTGTTCCGGCATTGGTTATCGGATCGAATCCAGGATTTGACCTCCCCGATCCCAAACCCGACATTCCTCAAATCTGCAGGATTCGTGAGGCACGCCCAACCCTACAAACCTGAACGCCTTAGAATCTCAAACCCTGGAACACTGATCCCCTGATCTGATCGATAAACCCTGAACTGCCCTGAACCCCTGCCCAAGCACGATAAACCCTAGGACCATACAATCCCAAACCCCCAAGGAAATTCAGCATGGACCAGGTGTTATCTGGATGCTCTTGACCCCGGCATGACCTTTCGGGAGAAAGACTGGTCAGGGAATCGGGACACTCACTGAAAGAAGGTGGTGGTAGTAGTTGCTATCGTTGATGTTGCTCCTGCTCTGCAGCTTCTGTTGTTGCTGTTGTTCACTTCAGCATTCCTGCGCAAAGACCTGCACACTGAGGGATCCGCAGACCGTCACGGCTTAGCACACCTGTCAGTCTGCAGGCGGCTCTCTTGCTTTGGGGGGCCAAAGCCTGCCAACTGAGGGCTTAGGGTTTAAAGTTTAGGGTTTAAGGGATTCGAAACCCAAACCCTGAGAACTGCATCCTCCCAGGTCTCGCACTGCTGCCCTAAACCCTAAACCCTCAACCCTGAAACCCTAAACCCTAAACCCTAAAACCCTCAACCCTAAACCCTAAAACCCTAAACCCTAAAACCCTAAACCCTAAAACCCTAAACACTAACCCCTATATCCCTAAACACTAACCCCTGCCCCACACCCTCCGAAAAACCCTTTCTGCAACTTTCGGCTCTGGGAGGCCTCAGAGGGTTTCAGGAGTTTAGGGCGTACGGCTTAGGGTCTACTTGGAGGATCATGGGACTTAGTAACTAGGCTTGTAAATAAGGTAGCTATAAGTATAACCCCAATTAGGGTACTTATAACCTTACTTACTAAGTCCCATGATCCTCCAAGTAGGGTTTAGGGTTTAGGGCTTGGGCGGGCGACTCAGGAGGCGGCACGGAGTTTGGGCCAACAAAGCCAGGTTTGGCTCCCCGGCGCGAAGCACAAAAGTGATGTGAGAACAACGTGCCCTAAACCCTGAACCCGGATACTACGGCGCCTTTGCCTGAGACGAAATTGGAATGAAACCAAATCGGGACACGCCTCCAACCTTACAAAATACCATTCTTACCTCATTGTTCCTTGCTCAAGTTTCAGTACCGGTTACCACAATAGCTACATGCTGGTGGAAATGAGAACTTCATATGTCGCGAGCTCGAAAGCTCTGGTTGCTGAGTTCCCTTGCCCGCTACAAAGGCTGCCCTAGCTTCCGCTAGCAGCATTTTGTGCCCACAAGACTCTAAGGTTACAGCCCAACCCCTCTAAGACGCACTTCTGAAGAAACCTTGAGACCGGCCCAATACCACCTGCTTGTCCGTCTCCAGCGTGACGGTGGCAGTGCCACCCTTCAGCGTGTCCTTTAAGGTCTTCGCGTTTAGGGGTGCAAAGGCCTTGGCCCACACTCCACTGCGTTAACCCAACTAACCCGAAACCGCCGACAAACCCACCCCCCATCGCAACTTGAAAATGCTCTAAGAACCGTAGATTGTCGTACACCCTAACCCTTGCCCTGGAACCCTAAACCGAGCGCCCCCAGCACTCGCAACAGTTTTAAACCCTGAAGCTGCTACGGTTCAGGTGTTCCAGTGCTTGCGACACAGCCTCCAATCTGTCAATCATGAAGACATTCGCCTCCAACCCCTACGCCACTACCTCCTCGAGCCATAAGCCATCACCAGCGCGAGCTATGAAAGCCTTGCCTTCTAACGCCTCACCATCATCATCATCATCATCATCATCACCATGATCATGGTCATCATCATCACAAAAACGTCCTGTTCGTTACCTTGTCGTCGTCACCATTCTCATCCTCATCACCACCACCCTAGCCACCAGGATCCAAGAAACGTAGCCCGGTCCTTCACCCCGAGCTCCTCGAAGACGGCCTGCGGATGGAGTTTGACTCTGTCTGAAAGCCGCTTTTGCCGGAAATTCAGAGTTTGGTCTGTCGGCTTCCAAGTCGCAGAAGCCCCACAAAACAACCCAACCCCGCTAACCCCTAAAACCACCCCTAAATCCCAACGAACCCAAACCCTCCCGTAACCCAACCAACCCTGAAGCCTGCAACCCCAAAACTCATAACCGTAAACCACAGGGACATAGCATTAAGCCTTTAAAACCCGAAAGCCCTAAAACCCAACAACCTAAACCCAAAAAGAGCTGGAATTTCCGATTTTGGGGGCTGAAGGCCAATAAAAAGCCGCCGAAGCCCAAACAATCACGTCGAAAGTCGGGAGCCTCGTGCTGACAGAACCCTTCTAGAATCCCTAAAAGAAGTGCTGAAAGGCTTTACACCCTTATAGAATCCTGAAGCGGCCCTTAAAGAACCCTTATACAACCCTTAAAGCAACCCTTAAAGGTCAAAGCCCAAAAAAGGCCTCGTACTGCAGAGCTGCGTTGCTCCAGGTGAACTCTGCAGAGGCCGCCATCGCCGCCCGGGTCATGGCCTTGACCTTCAAGGTGGAGGTTGATAATTTCTTTTTTTCAGAGGGTACTGCAGGGGTGTTATGGGGAATCCTACAAAGGGACATCTTTTAGACCTTTGTCCGGGGTGTGAGTCGTCCGTACAAATTCACCCTATACCCTGTCGAGCCTGACCCTATTCTCCTACAAACCCTGTAAGTGTACGGATTCGGGACTGTCCGGCTGGGGTCTAAAGTAATGCCCTGCACAGCAGCCTGAAACCAAGATGAGTGGGTTTAGGGTTTAGGAGTAACCATGACCGCAGTGATTGTAGCAACCAAAACTTGCCCGAATGAATTGTACTGATACTACAAGAAATGGGTGTGACTACCACCTCACAGTAACAGTAAGAACTGTAATCAACCATGGATGCTGATACTGAACGTACTGATAATAAAAAAATATATGGGGGATGATTAGCAACACGGTAAAAAAACACTTCTTCTCATTATTCTTACTAGCATTATTCTTGCGCACGGATAGCAATCCCAAGGCTTTGCCTTCTCAGGCTCCTCGATGAAGAGCTTCGAGGCGCGCTTCAAGGCCTTCGCGATGGACTGGACGGACTCCTGGCGCTTGGGGAGCTGTCGGGGCTTAAAACGGGCCCTTCGGGGATTCAGGGGCCCGGCACCGTGAGCCCTAACAAAAATAGGGTTTAGGGTTTAGGGGAACTGAAAGCTGAACTTCGAAACCCCAAACATTGAAGCTTTCGGCTTTCGGAGCGCACGTGTCAGAAGGGTCGGTCGATTGAGTGGAAGAGCAATATAGGGCCTTAATAATTAGAATAGGGTTATGGGGGACCCAGTATACTGTAAGTATCATAAGGCACCCCCAAAACAGTATTGGCAATGATTTAGGCCCCTACATCAGGCTGGCTGCTTGAGCTTTGCTGGGGAGGGGCTGAAAAGATTGGGACTTCGGGCTCCCATGCTCAAACCCTCCACCTCCCAAGTGGTATACTATAGAAAAGTACTAAAGTGAGTCCAGTTTTATATCATCTAGTCTGGTGTTGTCTAGCTTTGTTGTATCATGTAGTATAGTGTAGTATAGTATAGTGTAACTGCGTAACCTCCAATTCCCAGAAACTTTACACCTTGATAACCACGAGCTCTGAACCCCTAAACCCTAAACCCTAAACTCTGAACCCTGAACCGGCCTTAAACAATCAATCTCTCGACCCCGGAAGCCGCCCTCTCCAAATCCAAGCGCCTAACAAAATCGTGAAAGCCTCTCTCAACTTATGGAACCCGCTATGTTTGGGTTCTACAAGGGATTTGGGGTTCTAGGCATTAGTGTTCCGTTCAGGAGCTGGGGTTTAGGGTTCTCTGTAAAGGAAACTCCCCCACCCTTCCCCCCCCCCCCGCCCACAACCTTCCACAACAACAAAAAGCAGCTGGGAGGAGGGGCCTCGTCGATGACAGCCTCCACGGACATCTCCTTGTCGGTCCAGAGTCCGTTCAAGCCATCCTTGAAGGAGGGTCGGTATCGTAGGGCTTCAAGGCCCTTCATCCTTGAAAAGGTACTCATGGGATTTTGCTTTTAGGGCTTCAGGGCTTGAGGGTTTTAGGTTTTGGGGATGTAGGTTTCGGGCTTTAGGAGTCATGGCTTGGGGTCTGATGTTTAGGGCTTAGGGCTTGAGGCCGTTGCGCTTCTGGGCTCAAGGCCTTCTGGGTTTTGGTTTAGGGTTTATGGTAAGGGCTTAGTATGTAGGGCTCGAGGTTTAGGGTTCTGCGTTTATTTACTCATGTGTTTGTTGGCCTCCGGTTGAAATTACAGGCTCTGAGAAGGCGTTCGTAGGGTTTCTAGACGAGTTCTGTAGGCCTTCTGGAAAGGAGCTTGCTGGCAAGGGTTTCAAAGTCCTTCATTCTTGCAGGGATAAAGGTTTCGGTTTCCACGAAAGGATTTACAGTACTTTCGAGGCTCGGCAACATTATCACGGGTTTTCGAGTCTCGTGAAGGCTCGTATCAAGCTTGAGCTGCGACAGAAACCCAGCCCGATTTGTGTGTGAACAGGGCTTGGGGGAAGACTTTGCTACAAGTACATAGTTTTGGATTTTACGACAGGTCCTGAAGTTAAGCTGGAGTAGCGCATTAGACCATAAGACCGCAAATAACGCAGCAAGCATGAGAGAAGCTTGTGTGGAAATCAGCATGTACATGGAATGGCAGTTCCAGAAACACAAGCCTTTAGCCGCGCCTCTCTGCTTCAACGACCACGATATACCTTAACAAGGAAGCATCGCCCTGCCTCCACCGTGTCCTTCAGGCCGCCTGTTGGGGCCACGATGGGCAGCGTGCCCATGCGCATGGCCTCCGCAGCATCAGCGGAGGTCTCGGAGCATTCAGCAGTTAGATTATCTTGCAGCCTGGCGAAGCCTTTTGCGAGGCTATGTTTGACATGATCCTTGCACAAAACAAAGATAAATGCTCCAGCTCCAACTAGGAGCGTCAAGTTTGAAGAGCCGGCCTCCATCTGCACCAAGCCGCAAGGCTCCCACCTGAGGCGGTGTCGGCTTAACACAGTAGCCGAAGGCCTCATCGCAGTCATGGCTACTTGTCGTCATCGTCGTCGGGTTCGCCGTGAAACATCCGAGGAGCATGGATAAGGAGAGGGAAGAAAATCTGAAATCGACTGTAACGGGCACACATGGCGATCATCGCTACCTTCCCTGATATATGCACTCTGCCCATAGGCCTTGATGCCGAACTACTCGTCCTGTATTTTTTGGCTCAAGCAGTGTGATCCTGAACCTCTCACGCCAAAGCCTCAACCAAAAAAACAAGGTCGCGCAGATTGCAACCCTGCAAGCTTTATTGCGCTTTCAACGAAACCTGTAAATTCCAAAATCAAACTCGGGAAGACCTGAGAAGCCCCGTAACATCCACGCAGCTCCTGCCAACTAAACAGGTCCTGTCAAACCCCGAAGCCCTGAACCCAACATATGGTTATATGGGCCGAATAACTTACCAAGGGTTCTGGGGTACATTATAGTGTATGTAGTTCTGCCCTAGACCCTCATTCCTTGAAGCTAAAGCCAAAGCCCTGCTGAGTGCCGCTGCCTGGAGGGAAGGAGCGTGTAGTCGCAGCCGGCAAGCAGGGCATAGCGCTCAGGGCCCATCCAGCCTGAAGCAGAGGCCCTCTGGGCCTTTGCTTTGGCTTTGGCTTCGTCTTTCGGCTTCAGGGTGCAGACCTTCGGACTTCGAGATTGGGGTTCAGGGTTTGTGCTGTTATAAGTTATAAGCGCCTCTTTACCGATCTGCCTCCTAAACCCTAAACCCTCAACCCTAAACCCCGTAGAGTTTTAGGCCTCGGTTTCGGGTTCGGGATCCAAGGAGTGCCTTCGAGAGTCTGAGGGCTGCTAGGCTCTGGGCCAGAAGGAGGCCGCTTAGATCTTTTGGAGCTCCCTTGCTTTGGGCTTGGAACTTTATAGGGGTTCCTATAAAAGGGTCTATAAGGGCTCTATAGGGTTTCAAGGTTGAGGGGCTAAGATTCAGGGTTCAGGGTCGACGGGTTTAGAATTTTGATGCTTTGGAGTCTATAGGGTTTAGGTAGTTTGGGATTTGGATGGAAGATAAGCCCAGTCTCTCTCAGACTAGTCCCTCGCGCGCCTGCGTAAAAGAACTTAGTCGGGTACTTCTTCTCCACGGCCTTTGTCCTTGCACTCAAGGCAGCTGCCAAAGCATAAGCCTCACCCAAAGTCCTTACCATAAACCCAACGCCCTATAACTCTAAACCCTTTTGGGTTGAGGCCTAAAAGTGCTCTGAAACACCCGGGACCACAGGAACGCTGCAGTATGAACATCGGGCGCAGAGCTCAGAGTTTAGGGCTTTGAGTGTTTTGAGGTTGAGGGTTCAGTCAGGGTCAAGATATACGGGTTTAGGAAACTTATGGTTTAGGGAGTTTGGGGTTCAGCGTTTGTGTGAGCCCCTACATCCTGAACATCCAGACGCCTAAACCCCAAATACACTCAACGCAAAGCCACGAAACTTGAGCGTCTTCCAATCCAAGCCCTACGCCCCAAAGCCCTAACAAACCTGCACGCCCCATAATCTCCCAAACCCCAAACCCCATCAAAACCCACGTCAAGCCTCAAAGCAGGAGGGGAAAACGACTGAAACCCTCGGAAGCTCGAAGCGAAAGTCTGCAGACGCGAGGCTGCGCCACGAGGTCGGCACGGCCGGACCCGACGATGACCACCTGGAGCTCGGTGTCCTGGCACGGTTTCGGGCTGATGGCGTATAGGTCTTAGGGTCAGCTTTTCGAGGCCTCTTGTAGGAGTTTGGGGATTAGGGGCCGCTGTCATGGTTTGTCTATTTTTGTATATCTGTCCTATCCTTATCTTGGAAGGCTGCCATTGTTTTTGCAAGCTGCAAGTTGCGATGAGTATGACAAATCCATATTACCTGTTTGTTGCATGATGACTAGTGACTAGCACTGCTGCTACTATGCTTCTTGAGGCTCTGTCCCAGTAGTAACTTAGCTACGAGTCCGGTGGTGCAGTACCTTATCCAGTTGGTCTGCTCGGGCTCTACTCTCCGAGCAACGATACCCTTGCGCTCAAGCTCTCATCATCGACGTCCTGAGCCCCAAGCTCCCATGGCCGACACCGAAGCTCCTTAGCCATAATCACAAAGCCCCTAGAAAAGTAGAACCCTGAAAGCCCCCATTCTTTGCCTAAACGTCCGATCCGCAACACCCCAAAGGAGCTCCAAAACATCCTGAGCCTACACTCCCCTAGAGCTCCAATGAAAATCGTCAAAACTCCCGGAAAGCCTCAACACTCAACTCTAAAGCTGAAGCCCATAAAACCCACAATATCCCAAAAGCCCCAAAGCCCTAGGCCTTTAACGCCTGCGGTTTGGGAGTCGCAAGGCCTCGAGGATCTCTACCAGGGCCTCCAAGAGCAGGTCGTAGCCCTTCTGGGCATCCAGCCTCCAAGGGGTCTTAAGGTTTAGGGTTTAGGGCTCCAAGGTGGTGCTTTAGGGTTTTAGGGGCTTCGGGTTTAGGGTTAAGGGCTCTTGGGTCTCTTGGCTTCGGGTTTTAGGGCCTAGGGCCTTAGGGAATAAGCATCTGGGGTGTAGGGCCTTTTTCTTTGAAAGGTTTAGGGCCTAGGGTTTGGGGTGCTTCGGGTTTAGGGTTCGGGAATGGGGTTTGGGCCTTTTGCAGCTGCTTCAAACCAGGGCACAGGCCTTGGTCCCTGTTTGGAGTTTAGGGCTTAGGGTTTAAGGTTTTCGGTGTAGAGTTGGGAGTTTTTAGGGGTGTTTTCCTTTTGTGAGCCGCTGTGGGTTTGGGGTTTGGCGTTTAGTTCATACAGCCGCAAACTCCGTCGGCTGCAGGCCGGTGGCGTGATTCTTCGGGCTCGAGAGCTTGGGATGCCTTAACTCCTTGAAGCCCGCCAGCCTTCCGATGAAGCACATCAGGGGGCCAGTGGACTCCGGGAGGTTGTTCTGTGCGCGGTAGCTGGCCTGGCGAAGCGAAACAAGCTCAAGCCACACAATCACGGAACCCGAAGCCCCAAAACCCTAAAACCCTCTGAACCCCTTAAAGCCTTCAAAGAACCCCTTAAAGTAACCCGTTTCAAGGAACCCAACCCTGCCAGGCCTTGAGCTCGGCCTTTGCCTCCGGGGCGGTGGCCGCCTTTGGGGTCGAAGGCGCACTTTCTTCAGGGGGATCCGGGGCTGCAGGCCTTTCGGGGTTTCGGGTTTGGGGCTTTAGCGTTTTAGGGTTTAGGGTTTAGGGGTTTCGGGTTTGGGGCTTTAGGGGTTTCTTTAGGGTTTGGGGGTTCGGGCTTAGGGTTTAAACTCTAGGGTTTAGTGGCTGGGTTGCTTCTGTCAAGGATTCTGAGGATTTGGAGGGTAGATCATGTCCGTTTAAGAGGGTAGGTTTCAATACTCTGCTATGTCTATACTCTGCTTTCTTCCCAGTCTGAGGGATTTAAGTGTTGCCAGGTTTGCGCGTGCAGGGTTTCAAGGTTTAGGGTGCTGGGGCTAAGTGCCTTCGGGGGTTTAGGAGTTCGGGCCTGAGCCAGTTTAGGATGTGGGAACTCGAGGAAGACTGCAACCTGAACCGCTTGAGCGTCCGGCGGTGAAGACTCCGCAGCTCATCATGGTCTTCGCGACAAAATTCTTGTCGCTGGGGGTCACGCCCTCCTTCACGCCGTTCAGGATTCCTGCGTCATAACAGCTACGAGTCTGGGGAGAACAGCCTTCCATGAGACCGACCACTCCGCACGGCTCCACTTGAAGCTTGCGCTGCAAGGGTCCTGTGCACTTGCCCAGGCTGAAGAGGTCCTCCAACTCCACGCCCTGCGACGTTGGAGGCACTTTGACTGACTTGGACTGCAACACTGACCTTCACACTCTGCACCTCAGCGATGCAGGTCGCTCGCGATAAACCCCCCAACCCTAGATGATTCAGCGCTTAGCCCTGGAGAGTCTGCAAAGATCAAGGCCTTCTCCGGATCCGTGCAGCACTCCACGGCATAGCTGGGGGACACGGTCAAAGCCTTCAGCAGGCTTTAGTAGGTGCGGACATGTACATCTACATATACACATTACATATTCTGTGTTGCATATTGCACAGTAAAAATTACGAATCCAGGAACCTGCGCGTGCAAGATAGCATGCCGAACTCATATGTATGCAAGCATGCATGTATGTATGTATGTACAGATATAGATGTTTTTTTGCTGGATGGATAGATGGATAAATGGTTAGATGGATAGATTGATGGTTCAATAGACTCTAGACAGACAGACAGACAGACAGAGACAGAGACAGAGACAGAGACAGAGACAGAGACAGAGACAGAGACAGAGACAGAGACAGAGACAGAGACAGAGAGACAGAGAGACAGAGAGACAGAGAGACAGAGAGACAGAGAGACAGAGAGACAGAGAGACAGAGAGACAGAGAGAGAGAGAGAGACGGAGAGACAGAGAGACAGACAAACAGACAGACA